GCGTCAGGAGGCTGTTCAACTGCAACAGCAGGGAGCTCAACAAATATACCTTCGCAATCTGGAATTTGTTCGCCAGCAGCAGCACCGAAGAGATCATCAGCAGGATCTTCGGCGAGCACGTCAACAGGCAGAGGAAAACCAACACCGCCATGAGGAAGAGGAGCGTCTAGAAGCAGCACTACGTGAATATAATGATCCAGCATCTCAAGAACAGCATGAAGATGATGAGGAAAGAAGGAGAAATCGGCAGCAGGAAGATCGCCAGCGATCTGAGGCAGAAGATGAGGAGCATGCCAACCAGGCACCTGCTCAGAATCTTCCTATCCATGGTGGAGGTCGACCATATGCAGAGCCTATTGCCCGTCATACTCTTGGTCCCCTTGATGTAGAGTGTCCCAACTGTCACGCAAGGCACTTTGCATGTGAAAGACTCTCTGACTCCTCTTTACGAAATCCACACTTTGGTATGTGCTGCTTGCAGGGCAAAGTCAGCCTTCCACCCTTTCCAGCATGGCCACCCGAGCTGCAGCAGGCGTATACAGACCGAACATTTGTCTCCAAGATTCGTCAGTACAACAGCTCTCTTGCATTTACATCGGTGGGTGTCAATATCGAGGATAATGCTCTTCAAGGCTCTGGCCCAAATGCTTTTCGTATCCATGGATCCCTCCATCACCTCATGGGCAGTCTTATGCCTCCAGAAGGTCGTCAGCCATCTTATGCGCAACTTTATATCTATGATCCTGATGAAGCCACCGACATCCGTGCCAACCGACCTGGAAATGAAGGTCTTGATCGTCACATTCTCAGAGCACTCCATGACATGCTGTATCGAAGCCATCCCTATGCTCCTCTTTATAAACAGGCCTATCAAGTCATGCGAGAGAAGCCTCCAGAGCAGCACACAGATGTTCGTGTACGCATTCACTTCCAGGAGGGCTCAGATGGTCGAAGATATAATCTTCCCACTGCCGATGAAATTGCTGTGATTATTCCTGGAGATGGATCTGAGGACGTGTCTGACAAACGCGATATCGTCTTGCGACTTCAAGGAGGTCAACTTCAGCGCGTGAGCCAGCTTAGCCATGCATATGCAACTCTTCACTATGTCCTTCTCTTTCCTTCTGGTGAGGAGGGCTGGCATTCTGATATCCCTCTCAATATTAGAGAGGGTGAACGTGCCACACGCTCAAAAAAAGTCACCCAGCTGTTGTATTATGCCTATCGCCTTCATCCTCGCCCCATTCACATGGACCACAACAACATCTTTCGTGGTGGAAGACTTTTCCAGCAGTATGTGGTTGATGCATGGGCATCCATTGAGCAGAGTAAGTTGAACTGGGTTCGGAATAACCAAAAGCGGCTCCGGGCAGACTGTTACCGGGGTTTGACAGACAATGTGCTCAATGATGGCGTGGATGATTTGGCTCAGACAGGTCGCTCCATCATTCTTCCCTCCTCTCATACTGGGAGCCCTCGGTACATGCATCAGCTACTTCAAGACTCTTTGGCCATTTGCCGTGCCTGCAAAAAGCCTGATCTCTTCCTGACGATGACTGCAAATGGGAGTTGGCCTGAGATTACTGAGAATCTCCTGCCAGGTAAGAATTCATATTCAATGCATTATTTATAACTTCATTGCTGACAATCACTTATACAGGCCAAAGTGCTGTGGACCGTCCAGACTTGGTGGCTCGAGTATTCTATCAGAAACAACAGGCCCTCTTGAAGAAGGTTCGCAAAGGCTACTATGGAAAGGTCGCAGGATTGGTGTACACCATTGAATATCAGAAACGTGGTCTGCCTCACATGCATCTCCTCATCTTCCTGGATCCAAACGACAAGATACGCACGGTGGAACAGATCGATTCATTCATCTCTGCCCAGATTCCTGATAGAAACATTCACCCCCAACTCTACGAGGCCGTGGAAAAATACATGCTTCATGGCCCTTGCACTCCACAGCGTTGCTTGGAGAATGGACGGTGCAAAAAACATTTTCCAAAGTCATTCTGTCCCCAGACATCCATGAAGGAAGATGGCTATCCAGAATATGCAAGACCTGATAATGGCCGCACCATCCAGAAGAATGACAATGTCTTCACCAACAAAGATGTTGTTCCTCACCCCCCACAACTGCTGGTGGAATTCAACTGCCACATCAACCTGGAAGTCTGCGCTTCTATCAAGTCTGTCAAATATATCCACAAGTACATCTACAAAGGAAATGACCGCACCACTTTGGAGATGAGAGGAGCGGTGGATGAGGTCAAATCCTATCTTGACTCCAGATATATCAGCTCGAATGAGGCTGCATGGCGCATCTTTGAATTTTCCATGCATTATGAATGGCCCTCCGTCTACCGCTTGCCAGTTCATCTCCCAAATGAACAAATGGTGGTCTATGACCCTGCAGAAGATGCCCAGAACGTTCTTGAGCGTGCAGCAGCCAGGGAGACTTGCCTCACTGGATGGTTCAAAGCCAATGCCAATGCCGACTTGGTGGCAGCTGGAGCCCATGACCACCTCTACCAAGACTTTCCCTCAAAATTTGTGTGGACCAAGAATGCCTGGAAGACACGCCAGTATGGAGCAGCAATTGGAAGAATGTATGCTGCTGCACCTGGCTCTGGAGAGCGCTTCTATCTGAGATTGCTTTTGACTGTGACAAAAGGTATGATGTCTGGAACAATTTCTATCAATCAAACTTACCGTGTTTTGTTTTTCAAAGGGGCTACCTCCTATGAACACCTTCGTACTGTCGATGGTGTTCTCTGCCAGACTTTCAAGGATGCATGTCAGCGAAGGGGTCTGCTTGATGATGATAATGAATGGATCCAGTGCTTGCAGGATGCCTCTCATATGCGCACTGGATATGGTCTGCGTAATCTCTTCGCCATCATCCTCCTCCACTGCAACCCTACAAGCCCTCAAGAGCTTTGGAACCGCTTCAAGGACAATCTCTGTGATGATCTGCGCCCCCGTCTCACTCGCAATCCATATAACATGCCCAACCCTACTGAACACGACATTCATGACTACGGTCTCTATCTCATCGATAATGTGCTTCGCAAAAATGGAAAGTCTTTGGAAGCCATTCCTCACATGCCAGTACCTCAAATGGCAGCAAGATGGGGGGCCATTGAGGGCAACCAGCTGATTGCTGAGCAACTCCAGTATGACCCAGAGGATCTTCAGGCGATAGTGGATAGAGGAGTTCCTTCTCTCAATGAAGAGCAGAGGGCGGTCTTTGATGCAGTGGTTGATGATGCAATGCATCGTAATGACCAAAGACCTGGACATACATATTTCGTCCATAGTGCAGGTGGATGTGGCAAGACATATCTCTGCAAACTCATCGCTTCAAAAATCCGTGCTGAAGGCAAGATCGTCCTATGTGTGGCTTCCTCTGGAATCGCTTCTCTCCTCCTGCCAGGCGGACGTACAGCTCATTCGCGATTCAAGATCCCCATTCCCATTCATGAGGATAGCTCATGTAACATCAATAAAGGAGATGTTGTCCATGAGCTTCTCAAGGCCACCTGTCTAATCATCTGCGACGAAATTCCTATGCTACACCGTCACAACCTGGAATGCCTTGATCGCACATTGCGCGATCTTCTGAACGTCGATGCTGACTTTGGAGGAATAACCATGCTCTTTGGAGGAGACTTCAGACAGACACTGCCGGTGGTGCCTCATGGATCCAGGGAGCAGATAGTGGGTGCTACCTTTTGCAGATCTCGCCTCTGGCCCAAGGTTCATATCTTCCACCTCAAGAGAAATATGCGTCTGGGTCAAGATCCTGATTCCGATCGATTTGCGCAGGTGCTCCTTGAGATTGGAGCTGGTAAGGGCACAGATGGAGATGGCACAGTGACCCTCCCCATTGCACGCTGTGGCAACAATAATGTGCAGTCTCTCATCAATGCCCTGTACTCTGAAATTCTGCTCCCTAATCATCCTCCCTTGAATGATTCCTACTTCCTCGATCGCACCATCCTCTCCTGCAAAGAACACCGATGTGGATGAAATCAATACCACAATTCTTCAATTATTCCCTGGAGAAAAGGCAGTCTTCACCAGCGCAGACTCAGTCACTGAGAAAGACTATGACTACATCCCCGCAGAGTTCCTTCATACCCTCACCCCATCAGGCTTTCCTTTGCACAGATTAGAGGTCAAAGCAGGTGTTCCTCTGATGCTCTTGCGCAACTTGGACCCCTCACAGGGACTCTATAATGGAACTCGCATGATCCTCCTGTCTTGGACCACGCGCGTCCTCAGGTGTCACATTCTTAGGGATGGAAATGATGAAGCTCGGCATCAAGATCAGAACACCGTGCTGATTCCTCGGATGACTCTGGAGGCGAGTTCTGAAGAAAACCCCATTCCTCTCAAGCGGCTTCAATTCCCCGTTCGTCTTGCATTTTCCATGACAATCAACAAGGCTCAAGGTCAGAGTGTCAAGTGGGTTGGCCTTGATTTGCGTACTCCTGTCTTCAGTCATGGACAGCTTTATGTGGCTTTGTCTCGCTGCACTCATCCAGAGAGAGTGTTTGCTATTTTCCCAGAGCATGAAGAAGGCACAAAGACAACCAATGTTGTGTATACAGAAGTACTTAGAGGACTGACTGATTCTATTGCTGATTGATTTACATATTATGTACTTTTATGTTGTATAGTAGATTGTACCTTTACTTTTGTCAAAATCCTGAATACTGCTCAAAAATGTAATTTATTTCAAAATTTTCAAAATTCTGCTATGATTATCAATTGTTAATTATTAAGTTTGTGAAGTTGCTTCCTGTGCCGAAGGCACAACGGGTGTGGGCTCGTGTGGGCGTCACGGACAAGGGTTACATACTACATAGTAACTTCTACTAGGTTCGTGGCACCCGCGTGGCCCTATATAGGCCCTAACCACGAGCGCCCGCAATTTTGCTCTCAACACTCACGTACTCAAGCACTCACGACTCACGCCACATAGCTTGCTTCTCATGAATCGAGCAGCCCAGCTTGATAAACGTTTCAACGACATTATCAGAGGCAAAGTCCCTGCCGATGCACGAAGCTACCCTCTCTTATTGGAAGCGATTTGTACACAGCAAGACCCTGCGACCTGCATCAACAAAATCGTTGAGAGCTCCCATGGCTCAAACGCAGTTCAGGCTGCTATGCGTCACAATACCAGTTCCCAATTCCTCAACGACACTGCAACCAAGCTTCTGTTATATCTCTTCCGAGCACCGGACCTCGGTGATGTCTTGGATCACTTGCTCACCGCCATCGTTGATCCCCCAATTTTTTGGAGTGCCTTCAGCCAAGCATTCGATCAAGGTGAGCTCAATGAGCCAGCCCAGGAAGCATTCGCGGTGCTCCTCCTTCGCCTCATGTCCCTCACTACGGGGAATACGTCATCATACCGTGACGTCGCAAAGAAGCCTAGTATCCTTACGAGGCTTCTCAATTCATCGCAACAGACCGTCAAAGACATTGGCTACCGCATCGAACATATTCTTTCCACCTTCAATTCCGGTGCACCTACCGCTGCAGTCGGTGGACCTGGTGGTCGGCATGATAACGATTTCGTCGACTTCAGGGAGATCTCCATTCTTCCAACTGCAGACGAGATCCTCTGCCAACAGCTTCCTTTCATTCGCCCGAGCAGTGTATTGGAGGATCCTGATGGCGAAGAAACTCGTACAGCTGACTACCTGGATAACACCTTCCGCTTGCTGCGCGAAGAGATGTTACATGAGATGAGAGAAGAACTCCAGCCCGCTTTAGGGAAGAAGAAAGGGCGTCATCGTGGGCTCATCATCGATGACGTCACACTCGAGGGTGTTTACAGCGGTACAGATGATAGAAAGACTCGGTGGGGCATCAAGCTCAAATGCAAAGACGATTTCAAGTCGATGAAGAATGTCCCCGACAAGCAGCGCAAGCATTACCTCGAGAAAGATCCTGCGGGTGTCAAAATTCTCAAACATCAGTCTCTTGTTTGCGTACTTTCGGGAAATCAAATTCTTAGTCTCGCGACGGTCCATCGTGTCGAGGCACTGCTTGCGCAGAAGCCACCTGTTATCGTAATTCAGTTGGAAGGGGAGTCTAGCATCGCAAAGACTCTCCTTCAACTGCAGTCATCCGATCCCATTCGGCTCATTCAGATCGACACTGCAATTTTTGCCTTCGATCCGGTCTTGAAGGCTCTGCAGAACACGCAGTTCATTCCGCTTTCGGAGGAGCTCCTGTTCTGGAAGGACGGGAACCTTATCGGCAGCGCCTCGGTGACTGCGACTGAGATCACGCGACCCCTCGCTATGAATCCCTCTGTGGATTTGCAGCAGCTCCTGGGGACTTCATCTAGTATCGTGCTTGATAAGTCTCAGGCGGCATCACTTCTGGCAGGACTCACGCAGAGGCTTTCCCTCATCCAAGGCCCTCCAGGTAGTGTTAATATCTACCGCCTATGCATATCCATTTTGCTGACATGCCAGCAGGAACTGGGAAGTCATTCATTGGCGCGCTGCTTGCGAAGGCTATTCACGATCACACCGAACAGAAAATCCTTGTAGTCTGCTACACGAACCACGCCCTGGATCAATTCCTGGAAGATCTCATGAAGATCGGTATCCCTGACACTCACATTGCCCGTCTCGGCGGCAGAGCAAACGCGCAGGTCGCCCATCTTGGCGTTGCGGGGAAGAAAGAGCGTGTCACCCGATCGAAAGCTGATTGGACTATCATCGACAACCTGAAGAATTCATCGGGATTTCACTGCGACTCTCTAGAGGACGCCATGGACAGATTCATAGCCTCCAAGATTGACTTCAAGGACGTCCTCATGTACATCGAGTTCGAGGAACCGAACTTCTTTGATGCATTCCGCGTACCTGAAGATGATTCAGGAATGACTCGTGTCAGCAAGAAGGGCAAACCAGTCGACGCTGAAGAACTCATCTTTCAGTGGTCCAGAGGATTTGGCGCTGGGCAGTTCAAAGACGAGCCCAACGTACGTCAGGCGGCTGATATCTGGGGTATGCCTCTAGACGCTCGTCGGAAGATGTTGGAGCAATGGAAGTCAGAGATACGCAAAACCATCCTCGAAGAGATTTGCACAGCTTGGCAAGAACTACAACGAATGTCAAGATCAACTGACACGCAAATTCGGAGAAGGGATGGTCGCAACCCTCATGGGGAAGAGAATCATTGGATGCACAACGACTGGAGCAGCCAAGTTCGCACAAGACATTCGTGGGGCGAAACCTGATGTCCTTCTCGTTGAGGAGGCTGGTGAGATTCTCGAAAGTCACGTCCTCACTGCGATGGGTGAGAGTACCAGTCAGATGATTCTCATTGGCGATCACAAGTACAGTGAGCCAATGGTCATCTTCGGGATATCCTGCTGATGTTGGTTCTTCACAGGCAGCTGCGTCCCAAAGTCAACAACTACAAGCTGACTGTTGAGAAGGGCGATGGATTTGAGCTCAACAGATCACTGTTCGAGCGCCTGGTTCTCAGAGGCTTCCCTCATGAAACTCTGACAGCCCAACACCGTATGCGTCCAGAAATTTCAGCGTTCATCAGGAAGCTCACGTACCCCGACCTCACCGATGCTGCCAAGACCCAGGGCCGTGATGACATTCGCGGGATCCAGAACAACTTCGTCTTCGTCGACCACACTCATCCCGAGGATAACGACCCTCGTATTGCCGACCGAGGCGACGGGGCCTCGTCGTCGTCGAAACAAAACACCTATGAAGTCGAAATGGTTTGGAAGATCGTACGCTATCTCGCCCAGCAAGGCTATGGGACGGACAAGCTGGTCGTTCTCACACCGTATCTTGGGCAGCTCTCAACGCTTCGAGATGTTCTGAAGAGGGACAATGACCCTGTGCTCAATGACCTCGACTCGCACGATCTCATCCGCGCCGGACTTATGTCCGCAGCTGACAATACGTCCAAGAGGCGCATCAGGCTTGCCACCATAGGTAATGTTTCTGCCACTCGAGTTATAGCTAGCATCTAACGTTGTTTGAACAGACAACTATCAGGGCGAAGAGAGTGATATTGTCATCGCTAGTCTGACAAGGTCTAATGAGTCCAACGACATCGGTTTCATGAACTCCCCTGAACGTCTGAACGTGCTCATCTCCCGGGCTCGAAATGGATTCATCCTGATCGGGAACTCGCAGACCTTTGTGAATGCTCGGAGGGGTAAAGAGCTCTGGGGGAAATTCTTCGAGCTCGTCAAACAAGGCGGCTACCTGTACGAAGGCTTCCCGATCAAATGCGAACGGCACCCAAACCGAAAGGTCCTCATCAAATCTGCATCTGAATTTGATACTGTTTGTCCCGATGGTGGATGCACAGAGATATGGTGAGAAATTCAAAATCAGTCAATGTCGTTCCTACTCACACTGTCTCTAGCGACATGATGTTGAGCTGCGGCATCCATCCTTGCCCGCTAAAATGCCATCAGATCTCGGACCATTCGCAAATGCCTTGTCAACACCCGTATTCCGGCATGTGTGATGCCGATCGCCACAAGCTGAAGTGGAAATGTTTTCAGTCGAAGCCAGATCCTTGTCCTGACTGTACCAAAGAAGCCAAACGTGCAGAGGAGAAGCGAAAACGCGAACTCGAGCTGACGCAGAAACTAGCGGAGGAGGAACTGCAACGTCTGATACAACGTGAACAGGAGCAGTTGGAGCACGACTTACGCATGGCTGAGCTGGATGCCAAGTTCAAGGCGGAAATGGATGCGATAGCTGACGCCCAGGTTGCACAGCAGCGAGCCAATGTCTACCAACAGAAAATCAAGGATATCGAGGCAGCTAGAGCCAACGCACAGAAGGCGGCTGTAAATGCACAAGCACACGCCAACGCTGCCCATTCTGCTTCGTCATCCAGGACACACCCCACACCTTCCGCACCTTCCGCACCTTCCGCACCTCCCGCACCCCCATCCAATCCGCAGTCAAACGTTCCTCCGCCAAATCCTAATCCTCCGTCGTCATCGCCGAATCCGCAGCCAAGCACAAAATCTTCGACTTCACAGACGAATTCCCAGCAATCGAAAGTCTCAACAAAGTGGATCCTTCCTCGACGTCATCGAACAATGCAGCATCCACGTCGCCTGCCCACCAGGATTGGTTGTACCAGAAGCGAGTCAATGGCGAACAAAATAGCGCCATCGACGGTATCATGGAGTTGACAGGGCTTGAGGAAGTGAAAGCACAAGTACTCCGTATCAAGGCCCATATTGACTTGATGAAACGACAAGGCGTCCCCGTGAACAAGGAGCGCCTCAATCTTGTTTTGCTCGGTAATCCAGGAACTGGTGAGTACTCTTCGAGGTTTTAGCGTCCGGATCGCTCACATTCCTCCAGGAAAAACCACAGTCGCAAGGTTGTATGCGCAATTTCTCGAATCAGTTCAAGTTCTCCCAGGCGATGCCTTCCTTGAAACGACGGGTGCAAGCTTGGCACATGACGGGGTAGCTGGAGCCAAAAAGCTCATCGCAGATGCCATGATGGTGGGAGGAGGCGCTATCTTCATCGACGAAGCATACCAACTTGTTAGCGAACACCAGCACACAGGAGGTCAGGTGCTGGACTTTCTTCTCGCCGAGATGGAGAACCAAGTGGGTACTCTGGTCTTCATTCTCGCGGGATACAGCAAGCAGATGGAGAAGTTCTTCGAACACAACCCTGGCCTTCCGAGTCGTGTTCCGTACTCCCTCAAGTTCGCAGACTATACTGACGCGGAGCTTCTGACGATGCTGGAAGCGCTCGTGGAGAAACGATATTCAGGCCAGATGAAGGTGGAAGACGGCATCAGGGGCTTATATGCTCGAATTGCAGTGCGTCGACTTGGACGCGGTCGCGGTCGTGAGGGCTTCGGAAATGCTCGGGCATTACAGAACATGTTTTCCAGGGTCGCCCAGAGACTAGCTGAACGACTTCAGAACGAACGCAAACAGGGATGGCCCACTGACGATTTTTTTATCTTCAAAGAGGACTTCATCGGTCCTGACCCATCCCAGGTCCTTCCGCAATGCGCTCCTTGGGAGAAGCTACAGAAAATGATAGGTCTCGATTCCGTGAAGGACTCTGTCCGTAATTTCTTTCACATCGTCGACACGAACTATCATCGAGAGCTTCAAGAGAAAGAGCCCCTTGCGATGTCTCTGAACCGCGTCTTTCTTGGCTCACCGGGAACAGGCAAAACAACAGTTGCGAAGCTCTACGGGCAGATACTCACAGAACTAGGGCTCTTGAGCAACGGTGAAGGTGATGATCCATACTTGTGTTGTTGGCTGCCCGTTGACTGCTGACATTTCGTCAGTTGTTGTCAAGAATCCATCTGATTTTGTGGGCGCGCACCTTGGCCATACGGAGAAGAACACCAAAGCTATCTTGGACAGTACCGTTGGTAAAGTTCTAGTCATAGATGAGGTATGTGATCCCACTGTTACTAACCGGTGATAATGTTGACCTTTACCTGTTAGGCTTACATGCTGTACAGCAAGAACTCTGGAAACCAAGACTCGTTCAAAATGACCGTAATTGATACCTTGGTCGCGGAGATTCAAAGCGTACCTGGAGAAGATCGCTGTGTTTTGCTATTGGGATATAAAGAACAGATGGAAGAGATGTTCCAGGTACGCTCGAACATTCACTCGAATCACTGAGCGTGAACTCTGACATGTCTACTCAGAATGTGAACCCAGGGCTCGCTCGTAGATTTGCCATCGAAAATGCATTCACCTTCGAAGACTTCACGGAGTCCCAACTTCGGGAGATCTTGGACTTCAAGCTGAAGGACCAGGACCTCGGAGCCACAGACTCAGCTAAACAGGTCGCCAGTGATCTTCTGAACAGAGCCAAGAACCGTCCTAACTTTGGTAATGCCGGGGAGGTGGAGAACATGCTTGGTCTGGCTAAAACTCGCTATCAAAAACGTCAAGCATCAGTACCCCCTGATCAACGTTTGGACGTCATCTTCGAGCCTGAGGATTTCGACCCGAATTGGGACCGTGATCGCAACGCTGCAGCTAATCTCACGAAACTCTTTGAGGATCTTGTTGGTTGCGACGACATCGTGAAAAAATTGGGTGACTATCAGAAGATTGCTCGTGCAATGAAGGCGTCTGGTGTGGATATGCGCAAACAGATCCCAACGAGTTTCATTTTCAAAGGACCTCCAGGTATGTAGCGATTTCTGATCTGGAGCGGAGTATTCATAAAGGGATCCACTTATCCCTAGGCACCGGGAAAACGACTATCGCGAGGAAGTTTGGTCAGGTGTATTATGACATGGGATTCCTTTCTTCGACCGACCTGATCGAGTGCTCCGCCTCTGACCTCGTAGGGCAGTACGTAGGTCACACTGGCCCAAAGACGAAGAAACTTTTCGAGAAGGCCCTGGGAAAAGTGCTTTTCGTGGACGAAGCATACCGGCTTAGTAACGGGCACTTTGCGCAAGAAGCCATTGATGAGGTCGTCGGCCTCATGACCAACGAGAAGTTCATGAACAAGATGGTCATCGTTTTTGCAGGCTACGAGAGAGAAATGAACGCTCTGTTGAGCGTCAATCCTGGCCTCGCCAGTCGTTTCTCGGAGGAAATCACTCTGACCAACATGACGGCGGCTAAGTGTCTTCAAGTACTCGACAAGGAATTACAGAAGACGCAGATCATCCTGTCCGAGCTAGCCGACACCTCTTCTTCTGCTTACTCCGAGATGGAGAGTATCATCGACCGAATGTCACGCTTGTCCAACTGGGGGAACGCCCGAGATGTCAAGACCATTGCCCAGAGGCTCACCCATCACGCATTCAATGCTTTGGCAAATACTCCTGGAAGTGCACCGTCGCTCACCGCAGATGAGGCAATAGCCGTCATGAAGGATCTGCTCAATCAGCAACGCCAGCGGCTCAATATTCCACGCATAGCCACTTCACCCCCATCAAGTATACCACCGATGGCATCTTCCAGCAATTCCGCTCCTCCTCCACCCCCTTCCCAATCAGGGTCTTCTTCCGCAACTAATAAATCCCAGCCCACCTAAGCCACCTTCTCAGAACAGCTCTTCATCCAAGCGGGCGCCGCCGAAGCCTCCTCCGCCATCAGGGCCGCCCTCTACACCCAGTAGATCCCGCCCACCTAATAAGCCACCTGCACAAGGTAGTGCATCATCCAGCAAAAAAAACCCTGCCGCCGCCGTCTGCTCCCATCTCCGCTGCAAACATCACTCCAAAATTCACTCCTCGTCGCCCGAAGCCGCCCAAAAATTTCCAACAGGGGTCGCCTGCACCGTCCAGTTCTGGAAGTCTGCCTCCTCCCTCTATTTCAGGATCCCAAAGCAGTGCCCCACCGACTCCAGATCAGCGAGGGAAAGCGAAGCGGTTACCAACTCAAAGCACCCAGCCTCGGTCTGCCAATGGTGTTCAGCGTGACCCAGGAATCGCCGATGCTATCTGGAGGCGATTGGAGGCAGATAAAGTTGCAGCGCTGGAGGCTCAAAGGAAAGCAATTGAGGAGGTAAAGAGGCGTGAGGCTGAATTGAGTAGTGCCGCTGCAATGCAGCGAGCTGCGGAGGCTGCAGGTCGGGCTCTTGCTGAGCAGATTCAGAGAGCACGAGACCAGGCTGAGCAAGAAGAACTCATGCGCCAGCAGGAAGCGATTCAACGTCGAGAGGCAGAGATGCAGGCAGCAATGGAGAGAGCTGCTGCCGCACTCGTCCGAATGCGTCAGGAGCAAGAGAGGAAGAAACGCGAAGAAGAGAGAATACAGCAGAAGTTGAGGAACCTCGGCGTCTGCGTACAAGGCTTTGCATGGATCAAACAAGCATCAGGGTACCGTTGCGCAGGTGGCTCTCATTTTATTTCCGACTCCCAGCTGGGCTAGTTCTGCGCACATCATCCAGGTTTGATTGACGAGACACGACCATGTTGAGCATGTGCTGGTTTGGAAGTCAACATTAGCTGGCATTCTTCTGAACTCTTTTTCTTACATCTTTTTGCCCTGTTCGTGCGCTCTTGCAGATGCTGTAGTATGCGTATTTCAAAGTTTCTGTATTCAATATCCTGAGGTAGATTTACTTGTCGAACGCCACAGACTGAGTGAATTCGAAATATAAATTGACCGCTGCTCTTTGCATACCATTCGTCCACGGTATTGGATGCAGACGATGACAGGGAGCGTGTGCACAGTATTGGGGTTCCATTGATTACCTACGAGGTGGTGGGTGTAAGAGAATTCTGCTCGTAGAAGGGCTAGATCTTCGAGTACTCAGACGGTCTCGAAAGGCAGGCCCTTGATGGCAACAAGGCCTAGAGATGTGACACGTGATAATTACTGCATCAACTTGCTCATCGATGTCGACGACTCGACATGCAGGAGTCCGCGATATCGATAGTACAAATAGTGTTGATCGCACACCGGGAAACAAAACTACACTCCGCTCATGCAAACTCGATGTCTTAACTCATATTCAAGTTGATGCTCCGACACTCCCCCGACCAGTTAACAACTGAAGCTTGGCATCGGTACCCTCCACCTCGCATATCGAACACATAGCTTGCCCAACATGCGGAAAGGTTATCACCGATATTTTGACCATGAGGCGGATCAATTCCACCTTTGATGGCTCGCCCTCCAGATCTCTTCTCGTCATCCCTCTGCGGCGTTCGAAAGCAGCACGAGCGCCGTCGAAGGACCGAGGCGGCTCAAGGCTCTGGTCCAAGATGTCGCTCGTTTGCGCAGTCTAGGGTGCGGTTATGGTTCTTGAAGGATGTCATAAACGCTATGGTATTTTTTTAGAATATCTTCCTGAGGGCTCGCTCATGCACATCATTGTCAGGTCGATAAATCGAGACAGTTCGCCAAAGACACTCGTGTCAGTCAAGAAGTTGGTACAGAAGGGTAAAGTAACTAGCAGCCCAGATCTTCGATGTTTCAAGCGACGCGGATCTCACGTCATCCATGCGGACCTCAGCCGCATTTTGCTAGCGACATCGAAGCCTCCAGGCACCGCACCGCTCACGCGTATGCCACCTGTGTACATAACCACGGCGGTGACATAACACGAGCTCTTTGAACACTCGTCCCTCAAACCGAGCGTTTCTACGACTTTTTGCTCTTTATCGACTCAGCCAACATGGGAGGAATCGTATGGAGGACTCGCTGGCTGTCGACCCTCCAGAAGAATTCACCATCGAGATGCGGTGGAATAACCAGACTTACCTGCTACCTGCAATTCAAGACGATTTTTGTGCCATCATCCAATTCTTCATCGTCGAGCTATTCAAGATTCGACACAAACAGTTCAAGGGCACCCCTCCAAGTGCTTCAGAATTTGGTTCCCAACGCGACTCAACCTTACCAAAGCAAAATCAATGAAGTTGATGCGACCCCGGGAGTTTATCGCCAAGACACTCTGACGCGATCCAGAACTCATGCCATATGGTTTTGTTGGTGCTAGGCCACGCTGGATTTGTGGAGGTTGCGGGGGATAATAAGACCGCATCGCAATTGAGATGGAGCTGGTCAGACCAGCAGAGTAGAGCGGGTTTGGTGCATTACTAGCACAAGTTCCGAAGGCAATTGCCGTTGTAGGAACATCCTTTTGTGACGGGTTCACCACTGTCAGTACCTGTTAAATCTAATTGAGAGATCATCGACTCGGAGACGTAGATCATGTAAGTACTACTTAGATTTGCGGGGTTCGCCTATCGTTCATTTCTTGGGCAGTCTGGTCTACGTGTGGCCCCAGTCACTGGCTGTAGCCGGCGAGTCTAAACTTGGTCTAAACAGATAAGAGAACACGGACTGCCTGGTATACTTACAAGTTTGGTGCCTCATACGTAACGTTAGCTACTTACTCTTAATGTGTAGGTTCGTGGCGTCCGCGTGGCCCTATATAGGCCCTAACCACGAGCGCCCGCAATTTTGCTCTCAACACTCAAGTACTCAAGCACTCACGACTCACGCCACATAGCTTGCTTCTCATGAATCGAGCAGCCCAGCTTGATAAACGTTTCAACGACATTCTCAGAGGCAAAGTCCCTGCCGATGCACGAAGCTACCCTCTCTTATTGGAAGCGATTTGTACACAGCAAGACCCTGCGGCCTGCATCAACAAAATCGTTGAGAGCTCCCATGGCTCAAACGCAGTTCAGGCTGCTATGCGTCACAATACCAGTTCCCAGTTCCTCAACGACACTGCAGCCAAGCTTCTGTTATATCTCTTCCGAGCACCGGACCTCGGTGAAGTCTTGGATCACTTGCTCACCGCCATCGTTGATCCCCCAATTTTTTGGAGTGCCTTCAGCCAAGCATTCGATCAAGGTAAGCTCAATGAGCCAGCCCAGGAAGCATTCGCGGTGCTCCTCCTTCGCCTCATGTCCCTCACTACGGGGAATACGTCATCATACCGTGACGTCGCAAAGAAGCCTAGTATCCTTACGAGGCTTCTCAATTCATCGCAACAGACCGTCAAAGACATTGGCTACCGCATCGAACATATTCTTTCCACCCCCGAGTCCGGCGTACTTGTCACTGCAGTCGGTGAACCTGGTGGTCGGCATGATAACGATTTCGTCGACTTCAGGGAGATCTCCATTCTTCCAACTGCAGACGAGATCCTCTGCCAGCAGCCTCCTTTCATTCGCCCGAGCAGTGTATTGGAGGATCCTGATGGCGAAGAAACTCGTACAGCTGACTACTTGGATAACACCTTCCGCTTGCTGCGCGAAGACATGTTATATGAGATAAAAGAAGAGCTCCAGACCGTTTTGGGACGGAAGAAAGGGCGCTATCGTGGGCTTACCATCGATGGCGTCACACTCGAGGGTGTTTATAGCGGTACAGATGATAGAAAGACTCGGTGGGGCATCAAGCTCAAATGCCGAGACGATTTCAAGTCGATGAAGGATCTTTCCGAAAAGAAGCGCAAGTCTTATCTCGAAAAGGATCCTGCGGGCGTCAGAATTCTCAAACATCAGTCTCTTGTTTGCATACTTTCAGGAAATCAAATCATCAGTCTCGCAAGTGTTCACCGCGTGGAGGCACTGCTTGCGCAGAAGCCACCTGTTATCGTGCTTCAGCTGGAAGGGGAGGCTAGCATCGCAAAGACTCTCCTTCAGCTGCAGTCATCGGATACCATTCGGCTCATTCAGATCGACACTGCAATTTTTGCCTTCGAGCCAGTCTTGAAGGCTCTGCAGAACACGCAGTTCATTCCGCTTTCGGAGGAGCTCCTGTTCTGGAAGGACGGGAACCTCGTTGGCGGCGTTTCGGTGACGGCGACTCAGGTCACGCGACCACTCGCTATGAATCCCTCTGTGAATTTGCAGCGGCTCCTGGGGACTTCATCTAGTATTGTGCTTGATAAGTCTCAGGCGGCATCACTTCTGGCAGGACTCACGCAGAGGCTTTCCCTTATCCAGGGCCCTCCAGGTAGTGTTAATATCGACCGCATATCCATATCCATTTTGCTGACATGCCGCAGGAACTGGGAAGTCATTCATTGGCGCACTGCTTGCGAAGGCTATCCACGATCACACCGAACAGAAAATCCTTGTAGTCTGCTACACGAACCACGCCCTGGATCAATTCCTGGAAGATCTCATGAAGATCGGTATCCCGGAGACTAACATGATCCGTCTTGGCAGCAGAGCAAACGCGCAGGTCGCCCATCTTGGCATTGCGGGGAATAAAGAGCGTTTCATCCGATCCAAAGCTGATTGGGCTATCATCAACAAGCTGAAGAGGGCGTCGAGTGTTCACTGCAACAATCTAGAGGACGCCATGGACAGGTTCATAGCCTCGAAGATGGGGTTCAAGGACGTCCTCACGTACATCGAGATGGAGGACTCGAAATACTTTGATGCATTCCACGTCCCTGAATATGACGATTCAGGAATGACTCGTGTCGGCAAGGGCGGCAAAGCAGTCTCCTCGGATGAACTCATCTCTAGATGGTCTGGAGGATCTAACGCTGGGCAGTTCAAAGACGAGCTCAATGTACGTGAGGCGGCTGATATCTGGAAGATGCCTGCGGACGCTCGCCAGAGCATGATGGAGAAATGGAGGTCGGAGATACGCAATTCAATCCTCGAGGAAATTCGCACACTTGGCAAGAGTTACAACGAGTGCCAAGATCAACTGACATGCAAATTTGGGGAAGCCACTGTGGCGACCCTCATGGGGAAGAGAATCATTGCATGTACGACGACTGGAGCAGCCAAGTTGGCAAAAGACATTCGTGCGGCGAAACCTGATATCCTTCTCGTTGAGGAGGCTGGTGAGATTCTTGAAAGTCACGTCCTTACTGCCATGGGTGAGAATACAAGTCAGATGATTCTCATCGGCGACCACAAGTACGCGAGTCATTGGCAATTTTCGGGACATCGCACTGAAGTTGACTCTCCACAGGCAATTACGTCCCAAAGTCAACAACTACAAGCTGACTGTTGAAAAGGGCGACGGCTTTGAACTCAACAGATCACTCTTTGAACGCCTGGTTCTTATGGGCTTCCCTCATCAAACCCTGACAGCCCAACATCGTATGCGTCCGGAGATCTCAGCGTTCATCAGGAAGCTCACGTACCCCGACCTCACCGATGCTGCCAAGACCCAGGGCCGTGATGACATTCGCGGTATCCAGAACAACATCATCTTCATTGACCACACTCATCCCGAGGATAACGACCCTCGTATTTCCGACCCAGGCGATGGGGCCTCGTCGAAACAGAACACCTATGAAGTCGAAATGGTTTGGAAGATCGTACGCTATCTCGCCCAACAAGGCTATGGGACGGACAAGCTGGTCGTTCTCACACCGTATCTTGGGCAGCTCTCAACGCTTCGAGATGTTCTGAAGAGGGACAATGACCCTGTGCTGAATGACCTCGACTCGCACGATCTCATCCGCGCTGGACTTATGTCCCCAACTGACAATACGTCCAAGAAGTGCATCAGGCTTGCCACCATAGGTAAGTTTCTGCCACTCGAGTTATAGCTAGCATCTAACGTTGTTTGAACAGACAACTATCAGGGCGAAGAGAGTGATATTGTCATCGCTACCCTGACAAGGTCTAATGCGTCCAACGACATCGGTTTCATGAACTCCCCTGAACGTCTGAACGTGCTCATCTCCCGGGCTCGAAATGGATTCATCCTGATCGGGAACTCGCAGACCTTTGTGAATGCTCGGAGGGGTAAAGAGCTCTGGGGGAAATTCTTCGAGCTCATCAAACAAGGCGGCTACATGTACGAAGGTTTCCCGATCAAATGTGAACGTCACCCAGATCGAACGGTGCTCATGAAATCTGCGTCTGAATTTGATACTCTTTGTCCCGATGGCGGATGCACAGAGATATGGTAAGAATTCAGAATTGATAAACATTGTTCCTACTCACAATGCCTCCAGCGACACCATGCTGAACTGCGGTATGCATCGTTGCCCGCTAAAATGTCATCAGATCTCGGATCATTCGCAAATGCCTTGTCAACACCCGTACTCCGGCATATGTACTGCTAATCGCCACAAGCTGAAGTGGAAATGTTGTCAGTCGAAGCCAGACCCTTGTCCTGACTGTACTAAAGAAGCCGAACGTGCGGAGGAGAAGCGACAACGCGAACTCGAGCTGAAGCAGAAGCTAGAAGAGGAGGAGATGGAACGTCTGATACAACGTGAACAGGAGCAGTTGGAGCACGACTTACGCGTGGCTGAGTTGGATGCCGAGCTTAAGGCGGAGACAGATGCGATAGCTGACGCCCAGGTTGCACGGCGGCGGACAAATGTCTTGCAACAGAAAACTAAGGATATCGAGGCGGCCAGAGCCCATGCACAGAAGGCGGCTGCAAATACGCAGGCGCACGCCGACGCTTCCCGTTTTGCTTCATCGTCCAGGTCGACAAACCCCACAACTTCCTCCATCTCATACTCCCAAGGCAGTGTGCCACCGATTCCGGATCAGCCAGGCATTGGCGATGCTTTCCGGAGGCAGATGGAGGCAGATAAAGCTGCAGCGCTGGAAGCTCAACGGAACGCAATCGAGGAGGTAAAGAGGCGTGACGCTGAATCGAGTAGAGCTGCCGCAAGACAGCGAGCTGCGGAGGCTGCAGCTCGGGCTCTTGCTGAGCAGAATCAGAGGGCACGCGACCAGGCTAAGAAAGAACAACTCTTGCGCCAGTGCGAAACACTCTGGCAGCAGCAAGAAACAGACCGACGCCAAGAGGCAGAGGCGAAGGCAGCAAGGGAGAGAGCTGCTGCTTCACTCGTTCGAATGCGTCAGGAGCAAGAGAGGAAGCAACGCGAAGAACTCGCTGAACAGATTCAGAGGGCACGAGAGGCTGAGCAAGAACAACTCTGGCACCAGCAGGAAGCAGCTCGACGCCGAGAGGCAGAGATGAGGGCAGCAAGGGAGAGAGCTGCTGCTTCACTCGTTCGAATGCGTCAGGAGGAAGAGAGGAAGAAACGCGAAGCACTTGCTGAACAGACTCAGAGGGCACGAGACCAGGCTGAGCAAGAACAACTCTCGCGCCAGCACGAAACACTCTGGCGCCAGAAAGAAACAGTCCGACGCCAAGAAGCAGAGGCGAAGGCAGCAAGGGAGAGAGCTGCTGCTGCACACACTCAGGAGCAAGAGAGGAAGAAACGCGAAGAAGAGAGCACACAAGGCTACCAATGGATCAAACAAGTATTACCCGGGTGGCTATCATTTTTCTGATTCCCAGGTTCCCTACTTCTGCGTACAATATCCAACTTTGATTTACGACTCCGAGACATGACTCCCCCGCAAAGGATCCATGTCAACGTTCACTGCTTTTCTGAACTTGGGGTTTCCTTACGCCTCTTTGCCATGTTTTTTGTGCTCCTGTAGACGCTGTTTTTCCAATCACCGTTTATTGTTCGTTGCCACGATGCCCTATGTTGGACGAACATACATATGTTGCGATGTGCTGTATAATGCTGGATTCTTATACGCGTCACTGTTAACTTGGTGCTGTACTAGTGTTTTCTGCGTTCAATAGCCTGAGGTAGATTTACTATCGAACACCAAAGCACACTGAATGAAAGCGATTAATCGATTATATCCGGGGGTTTTGTCCGTCAAAAAATAGATAACATGTCAAGGATTCATGTTACTAGTAGTACCTATAGCAAATAGTACAAGTCCCACTTGTCGGTTTATCGTAAGCCTAGCACATCGTCCTCAACGTCTTTTGACCCAATAGAACTACTTTGAACAATCAAAATATTTGTTAGTTGCATCCACTAGGTGTCCCCATCGCCCTCCGTTCCAACTCTTCCGCGGCCACTCCTGCTTCTCAAAGCAATACATACTGTATCCACTTGAAACATCCCGCAACCATGAAATCAGCAAAACACGGAGTATCGCCCAATATAAATTGACCGTTGTTCTTCGCATACCATCCGTCCACGGTATTACATGCAGCCCGCAATACATTCCACTGTTCCTCTCTCTTCTCGGGCGGTGCAAACTGCTCCCATGGAATTAGTGCTGCCGCAGTCCGGTTCAGAACTTCGGTTCGAACCTGAACCTTTCCGAACCGGACTCATGGTCCGGTCCTAGGTTCGGCCAAGACTCAGAACCGAACCTCTCCAGAGGTTCGGGGTTCGGCTGACGGTGAATAGGTTCGAACGGGTTCGAACCTCAGAATTTTTGGGTAGGTTTCACACATTTTTTAATCTGCGTTTCAGTACTTATGATGTTCATTTCTGCGGACTCACCAAGTCCGTGCTTGAGAGACTGTCTGTCTGGAATAAGGACTGTCATGATGCCACTCGCATGGCATGATTGGACCTTCTGTGCATGATCCTTTACCTCGTTGGAGTAATCTAAGCCGCACCTACCAATACAACCACTACCAGCGATGATTTTGAAGCTCCATCATTCACGAATAGAACCCTGTGGAACATCATCTCCAGCTCCGTTCTCACTCTTTTCGCATGCATATACACAGCCATCTATCCAAATATTCCGAGTCCTAAGGACAGCCCATTGCGCATCCTATGGCGACGACTTGGCATCGTGATAGCGGCACTAATCGCTCCTGAACTGATCGTCACATGGGCTATGTGCCAGTGGTTCAGTGCTCGTCAAAATCAGACTCATCTGACAAATACCAGATGTGCTTGTTCTCTTTGACACTAGCTCGATGCTCGATATTTAATATGATTAGATTTTATGCTGGTGTTCTGAACTTCTGCACGAGCTAGGTGTGCAGCCGCTTCCTCGCCTCGCTGTTTTCAAAGATCTCAGGACGCTGATCTGTGACTGACGTCTGCATTCAACCACCCCCAATCATTTTGAACCCATCTTCTACACATAATGCAGTAACATATACCCGTCTCAGACGGGCAGCCGGGTGTGACAATGTGCCAATAGAGACGAGCCACCCAGTGCCGGCCCATGGCAATAATTGTACCATGTTAGACGAGTGGGCCGAGGGGGTGGAGTGTCCAAGGCAAATGGATGGGCCGGGTGTATATAGTATAGATGGTAGTATAGCAATGTACTATATAGGAAATTATGAATAGTAGTAGTGAATCCAGTGTGTGATAGATGAGTGGGCCGGAGGAATGGAGTGCAATATAGACGAGTGGGCCGGGGAACTGGGGTGTGATGGAGACGAGTGGGCCGGTAAATGAGGTGCAATGGAGATGAGTGGGCCGGTACATAAGGTGCAATGAAGACGAGGGGGCCGGAGAATAGGGTGCAATTGAGACGAGTGGGCCGGTATAGCAGGTGCAATGGAGACGGGTGGGCCGGTATAGCAGGTGCAATGGAGACGGGTGGGCCGGTATAGCAGGTGCAATGAGGACGAGTCGGCCAGTGTTATTGGGTGCAATGAAGATGAGTCGGCCGGTGATATGGGGTGCAATGAAGACGAGCCGGCCGGTGATATGGGGTGCAATGAAGACGAGTGGGCCGGTGATATGGGGTGCAATGAAGACGGGTGGGCTGGCATTATAGGGCGCAATGGAGATGGGTGGGCCGGTGATATGGGGTGCAATGAAGACGAGTGGGCCAGTGATATGGGGTGCAATGAAGATGGGTGGGCCGGCATGATAGGGTGCAATGGAGATGGGTGGGCTGGTATTATGGGGTGCAACAACGACCGGTATTTATGTAACCGGTTGCTTGTGGTAACATAGCACTCAATCCGGCGATTCCACCGGTGGTCTGATCATGTAAAATGGTTAAGATTTGACAAAGTTATGAGCCCTACAAGGGAAAGCCATAAATTTAGAGGATATTATGATATATTGTATCTAGACCATTGCAGCCGGTATTTTTTGACCGGTATTTACATGACCGGTTGCTTGTGGTAACATAGCACTCAATCCGGTGATTCCACCGGTGGTCTGACCATGTAACATAGTTAAAAGTTAGGAGCCTTACAAGAGAAAGTCACAAAGTCAGAGGATATATCATATCTAGACCATTGTGACCGGGATTTTTCAACCGGTAGTTATGTGACCAGTTGCTTGTGGTGACATAGCACTCAGTCCGGTGATTCCACCGGTGGCCTGACCATGTAAAATGGTTAAGATTTGACAAAGTTATGAGTCTTACAACAAGAGAAAGTGACAATTTCAGAGGATATATCATGTCTAGACCATTGTGTCCGGTATTTATGTGACTGGTTGTTTATAGTAAAACATAGCACTCAATCTGGTGATTCCACTGGTGGTCTGACCATGTAAAATGGTTAAGATTTGACAAAGTTATGAGCCCTACAAGAGAAAGCCATAAATTTAGAGGATATTATGATGTATTGTATCTAGACCATTGCAACCGGTATTTTTTGACCGGTATTTACGTGACCGGTTGCTTGTGGTAACATAGCACTCAATCCAGCAATTTTACTGGTGGTCTGATCATGTAAAATGGTCAAGATTTGACAAAGTCATGAGCCCTACAAGAGAAAGTCATGAATTTAGAGGATATATGATATCTAGACCAGTGTGTCTCCAGCTCTACCTTAGGGTAGTTTACCTCTGTTCCATTTCTACTCCAGACTTGTCCACAGCAGTCTTACTCTGGGTTTCCTTGAACCTCTGGAGTTCTGCCGAACTCCCCTAGTGTCTGATCTCCGGAAACCTCTGGACTTTGTTGGACTTCCCTCCTGCCTCTCATAAATTAAGGGCACATACTCGGGTAAGGGGTGCAGCACACAAGCTGAAGTCAAGCCCTTTGAGTTCTCCTTCCTTTGAGCATGACCTTAACATCCACAGACAAAACCTTGTGATGTTGTGTACTCACCCTCTCCTGGTGGTCCATCCTCTGGGAAAGGTTTTCCTACAGGAACACAGCTGCAGAAAGATATGGGGACCATTCCTAGACATATTTAGAGTATGTACACCAGGTTGGTACATCAGGATACCTACAGAATCCTTCTATACAGGCTAAAACTTCTAAGATTGCAGTTGTCGCATTTTTGGTGTTTTCCCCTACTTTACCATTGCATAAATGATCCAGACTACTCATATATTATCCTTACTACATATATACCTACTTCTCATCCCAAGGATCAGTTAGAAATATGGTATAATATTGTGATCTAAGGGAAAGGGGGTATGTGTACTGATAAGGGGCCTACATTCTCCAATGGACACAATCTAGTAATCAGATGCTTGCAATATATTCTAAGCATGGTCAATATCATGGTCTCAGATTTATAAAAGGATCCACTAACAGTTGAGAGCTAGGGCAGTGAAATATCTCTGAAATAGAGTGTGGGAAAGTCCAAAAGCCCAAAACATCGAAACTCACCAGTTTGGTGTATATGTAGTGGTTGGACTTTTACTTACCAATCCTAATATTTCCTCACCACACTCTTCTACAAAGACTTTACCTTCAGGGCAATGTGTATTTTAGGTTCATTATGTAGTCTACTATACATACTACTGCATTTTTAATAAAATCTTTGGTGTGTGTGATATATGTCAGTGACTTTCAGTGACAGGGGTAAATTGTCATATGTCAAGCCTATGTTGTTTTACTTATCTTACAGTCAATACTTGAGGGATCTTTCCAGAATTTTAGGACCATGACTAGGGATATACATGGGACATATCCCAAGTGTCTGATTACCAATAACATCCTTGATAGTGTTGGAGGGTGCTTATCAGTTATGTTTTCATGTATATATGCTATATTGTTTGATGTAGCCCTTCAGGGGGTCAACTAAGTGGTGGAATATGTTAATATATACTCCTAAATATGTTTTGACAGTGCTAGAACACTCTCCTATCAGAGGGGCAAAATGGAATCCCCTGATTGAGTGCTACATTACCACAAGCAACCGGTTGCAAAAATACTGATTACAATGGTCCAGATATGAGCTGATACAACACTGTATCCTTTGAATTTATGACTTGGTCTTATCAGGCTCAGAACTTTGTCAAATATTAACCATTTTACATGATCAGACTACCGGTGGAATCACCAGATTGAGTACTATATTACTGCAAGCAACTGTTCACAAAAATACCGGTCACAATGGTCTAGATATAACATCCTCTAAATCTGTGGCTTTATCTTGTAAGGCTCATAAGTTTGTCAGATCTTAATGATTTTGCATGGTCAGACCACCAGTGGAATCACCAGATTGAGTGCTATGTTACCACAAGCAACCAGTCACATGAATACTGGTCAAAAAATACCAGTTACAATGGTCTAGATACAATATATCATAATATCCTCTGAATGTGTGGCTTTCTCTTGTAAGGCTCATAACTTTGTCAAATCTTGACCATTTTACATGATCAGACCACCGGTAAAATCGCCGGATTGAGTGCTATGTTACCACAAGCAACCAGTCACATAACTTCCGGTTGAAAAATCCCGGTCACAATGGTCTAGATATCATATATCCTCTGCCAGTGAATTTGTGACTTTTTCTTGTAGCACTCATAACTTTGTCAAATATTAACCATTTACATGATCAGACCACCAGTGGAATCACCGGATTGAGTGCTATGCTACCACAAGCAACTGGTCACATAAGTACTGGTTGAAAAATCCTGGTCACAATACTGTAGATATCATATATCCTCTAAATTCATGACTTTCTCTTGTAGGGCTCATGACTTTGTCAAATCTTGACCATTTTACATGATCAGACCACCGGTGAAATCAGCGGATTGAGTACTGTTACTAGAAACAACCGGTCACATAAATACCGGTCACAATGGTCTAGACATGATATATCCTCTGAAATTGTCACTTTCTCTTGTTGTAAGGCTCATAACTTTGTCAAATCTTAACCATTTTACATGGTCAGACCACCGGTGGAATCACCGGATTGAGTGCTACGTTACCACAAGCAACCGGTCACGTAAATACCGGTCAAAAAATACCGGTTGCAATGGTCTAGATACAATACATCATAATATCCTCTAAATTTATGGCTTTCTCTTGTAGGGCTCATAACTTTGTCAAATCTTAACCATTTTACATGGTCAGACCACCAGTGGAATCACCAGATTGAGTGCTATGTTTTACTATAAACAACCAGTCACATAAATACCGGACACAATGGTCTAGACATGATATATCCTCTGAAATTGTCACTTTCTCTTGTTGTAAGACTCATAACTTTGTCAAATCTTAACCATTTTACATGGTCAGGCCACCGGTGGAATCACCGGACTGAGTGCTATGTCACCACAAGCAAACCGGTTACATAAATACCGGTCGTTGTTGCACCCCATAATACCAGCCCACCTATCTCCATTGCACCCTATCATGCCGGCCCACCCGTCTTCATTGCACCCCATATCACTGGCCCACTCGTCTTCATTGCACCCCATATCGCCGGCCGGCTCGTCTTCATTGCGCCCTATAATGCCAGCCCACCCGTCTTCATTGCACCCCATATCACCGGCCCACTCGTCTTCATTGCACCCCATATCACCGGCCGGCTCGTCTTCATTGCACCCCATATCACCGGCCGACTCATCTTCATTGCACCCAATAACACTGGCCGACTCGTCCTCATTGCACCTGCTATACCGGCCCACCCGTCTCCATTGCACCTGCTATACCGGCCCACCCGTCTCCATTGCACCTGCTATACCGGCCCACCCGTCTCCATTGCACCTGCTATACCGGCCCCACTCGTCTCAATTGCACCCTATTCTCCGGCCCCCTCGTCTTCATTGCACCTTATGTAACCGGCCCACTCATCTCCATTGCACCTCATTTACCGGCCCACTCGTCTCCATCACACCCCAGTTCCCCGGCCCACTCGTCTATATTGCACTCCATTCCTCCGGCCCACTCATCTATCACACACTGGATTCACTACTACTATTCATAATTTCCTATATAGTACATTGCTATACTACCATCTATACTATATACACCCGGCCCATCCATTTGCCTTGGACACTCCACCCCCTCGGCCCACTCGTCTAACATGGTACAATTATTGCCATGGGCCGGCACCGGGTGGCCCGTCTCTATTGGTACATTGTCACGCCCGGCTGCCCATCTGAGACGGGTGAATTCACTGAAGGGGCTCTCTTCTACAGGCGATACTATGTCAGCCTTCCTTGGACTTTTTCACCCATGCATTGAGGTCGAACCTGGTTCGAACGCGAACCAGACCTCCCAAATGCGTTCAGAGGTGTTCGGTCCAGAGTTCGACCAACAGCCAAACCTGAACCTAGGGTTCAGTTTGGTGTTCGGAAAATTTTGCCAGAGAACCGGACTGAACCGGACTTCGGCAGCACTACATGGAATGTGGTGTCCAAGACTCCAAATAGCCTCAAACACTACTGGCAATCTAATCAAGGGCAGTAAAAGTTCCGAAGGCAATTCCTGTGTGACCTGCCACAGTTTATACTGTGACGGGTTCACCAGAGATCATTATCGTTGACTCGGAGACGAGTCTGGTCTACATAGTATGACCTTTTTTTGCCCTAGTCAGGTATGTCATCATGAAGATATTGCAAATTGTGAGCTATGTACAAATAATATAATACTAACTGGTGCTTGTGCGGATCCTGCTTCTTGTTGTTCGATCCCACACGTCATTCTGACGCTCAAACCCCAATATTCAACATTGCGTTTTTCTCTTCACTACCACCATCACTGAAGTACACCGATGTCTGACCGACGAGCTACCCAGCTCAACAAACGATTCTATGACGTTCTCAGGGGCGAAGTCCCCGTACAACCACGAACCTGCCACTTGTTTCTTATGCAATATGTTCCCAACCAGATGTTGCAGTGTGCGTAAGTAAGATAGTAGGATATCAAAAAGGACCATTGTTTGTGCAGGAAGCGATGCGATTGGACTTGTCGCAGGAGTTTATGAACGGGATTGGTACTAATGTTCTTGTATATCTCCTTCAGGCCACAAACATCAGCAACAATGCACTAGATCACTTGTTTGTCCAGATTGTCGAACCAGATTTCTTCTGGTCAGCGTTTAGTCATGCTTTTGCTCGTGGAGAGCTCCTCGAAAAAGGACAATTTGCCTTTGCTAGCCTCCTCCTTCAGCTGCTGAACCTCTCAAATCATGATACGGCACCTTATCTCGAACTAGCGGGTAGGCCAAATGTGCTCTCTAAACTTACCAGCTCTACAAAATTGGAGGTCCGGCTAATTGGAGAGAAGATTAAGCATATCCTTTCAACGTATGGCTCATCAGCCCCTCCTTCGGCTGCCAACGGCCCAGGCGGACGACACAACAATGATCTTGTCAATTTTCGCGACATCACTATCCTTCCCACATCCAATGAAATTCGATCCAAACAGTCACCATTTCTGCGCCGTAGCTCGGAGTTAGAGGATGCATCCGGAGAAAGCACTCGTATCGCGGATTATCTCGACAATACATTTCATCTTCTTCGCGAAGACATGACAGCAGAGATGCAGGAGGAACTTCAGGTGTTTGAAGGAAAGAACGTTAAGCGCCGCCGCGCTAACCTGATAGACGGTGTCATATTGAAAGGGGTTTACTATGGCACTGACGATCATAAAATGCCGTGGGGAATAACATTGGAGTGTGTTGAGGACCTGCTGTCTCTGAAGCACATTCCTCTGAAGGACAGGAAAAAATATCTCACAGATGATCATACTGGCTCCAAGATCCTTCGTCACCAGTCACTAGTCTGTGTGGTGGCTGATGGGGAAGCGGTCGGCTTTGGCACTGTGAACCGAGTGGAAGATCTCTTGGTCCGCAGCCCTCCTATTGTCGTCATTCAACTAGACGGGCGGGCGAGTACAAGTAGAACAATCCTCCGGCTCCATAATGCCAAAGGTGCGAAGCTCCTACAGATCGACACCGCTCTTTTTGCCTTCGAGCCGGTGCTTAAGGCATTACAGAAGACGCAGCACATCCCAGTATCTGATGAGCTGCTGTTCTGGAAGCATGGTACCACTCTGCAGAGGCCCCCGCAGACCACAGATGCCGTCATCGCAGCCATTGAAGCCAACCATTCTGGAAACTTGCAACACTTGCTTCAGACTCCCAACCCCATAAATCTAGATCGCTCGCAAGCCTCTTCTATTCTTTCTGGCCTGATGCAGAGGGTATCCTTGATACAGGGTCCTCCAGGTGTGTTCTTTTACGTTGTGGATGCTAAACAAACACTTATGTGGTGGATCAGGAACCGGAAAATCGTTTGTAGGCGCCCTCTTAGCCAAAGCTCTGCACAACTTCACCGATCAAACAATTCTTGTTGTGTGTTATACCAATCATGCTCTAGATCAGTTTTTAGAGGATCTTTGCAAAATTGGCATTCCTGACGATAACATGGTCCGACTTGGGGGCAGAGCCACACCACAGCTCGCGCATCTCAACCTCTTCAGTCCTTGCCAGAGAACCTCCCAGCCCCCACGGTCCAAGGCTGATTGGATGATGATCGATGAATTCAAGAACGAACTTCAGTTTCTCTGTCGTCGGCTTGACAACTCTGTTGCGGAGTTTGTGGCAAACAAGATTCGTTATGAGGACATCTTAACGCATATTGAGTTCAAGGATGAGGATTATTTTGAAGCTTTTCGTGTTCCCAAGTCAGATGACGGCATGACGGTCATGGGCCGATGAGGTCGGGAGGTTGACCCAACATATCTCATAGCGCTATGGCAGAGGGGCAGACGTGATGCGGTCATCTTCAAGAATGCAGCTCATCTGCGGACGAACGAAGCAAATCGCATTTGGGCCACTCCCTTGCCTGTCCGCCAAACCTTGATGACGAAATGGACGCACGACCTTCAGGAGGAGATGGTAGATGATATTGGTGCTGTTGGCCGAGATTACAATACCTGTCAAATACAACTCAGCCAGAAGTATGGCGAGTCATTGGTTGCGATGCTCATGGCTAAAAGGATTGTTGCATGTACAACAACGGGTGCTGCAAAATTTACCGAAGACCTCCAAACTGCCGCTCCCGATGTTGTCCTTGTGGAGGAGGCTGGAGAGATTTTGGAGAGCCATATCCTGACTGCCCTTGGCGAAAACACCAATCAGCTTATCCTTATCAGAGACCACAAGTATGTTTCCACCACTGCCCTTAATGCTTTGTTCTGAGTTATACATTTAGGCAGTTGAGACCAAAAGTCAACAGTTACGCTCTCCAAGTCGGAGTGGCCAAGGATATGACTTGAACAGGTCGCTTTTCGAGTGCCTTGTTCTGAAAGGATTCCCCCACATTACTCTCACCCAGCAACACCGCATGCAGCCCGAAATCTCCACGCTCGTTCACGAACTCACATACCCTGAACTCACTGACGCTGCCGGCACTCGTGGCAGAGACAATATCCGTGGTGTCCAAGATATCATCATTTTTCTCAACCATGCTCACCCCGAGGATGGTGATATCAGAGTCAGCGATCGCAACGATCCTAGTTCTGTAACTTCAAAACAAAACTCCTATGAAGTCAGCATGGTTCTGAAGATCGTCCGGTACCTTGCTCAACAAGGTTATGGAACAGATAATATCGTCATCCTAACGCCTTATCTTGGGCAGCTCTACAAGCTTCGGGAAGCTCTCAGGACAGACAATGACCCGGTGTTGAATGACCTCGACTCTTATGACTTGGTCCGTGCGAGGTTGCTCTCTCCTGACACTGCAAAGGCGTCCAAAAGAAAGATAAGACTGGCTACCATAGGTATGAACTCCAACAGAACTAACACCTGACGGTGACTGACTGGAGCAGACAATTATCAGGGAGAGGAAAGTGATATCGTGGTTGCTAGCTTGACACGATCGAATCCTGATGCTGCTATCAGCTTTATGAAGTCCCCTGAACGTTTGAACGTCCTCTTGTCTCGTGCCCGGAATGGTTTCATTCTTATTGGCAATATGGATACATTCCAGAGCAAATCCCCTCTTTGGAGTGGTCTATTTGATCTTCTCAAACAGGCGTCACATATCTATGAAGGGTTTCCTGTCAAATGTGAACATCATCCTGCGCGGAAAGCCATTCTGCGAGACGCTAACAATTTCGATGAGTGATGTCCTGATGGAGGTTGTGTGGAGCCTTGGTGGGTGTTCTCTCAACAACATTTGGGTAGCTCGCTGACCTTGCTGCCTTCAGTGGTACTATGCTTAGTTGCAGCATGCACCCTTGTCCTTCGAAGTGTCATCAACTTGTTGATCACTCCAAAGTGCTTTGTCAACAGTCATTATTCAGGGAATGTGCGGCAGACGTCCACAAAGTTTCGTGGAAGTGTCATTGAGGGCCTCCCAAAAAATGCACACCATGTGAGAAGGATGCAGCGTGGGCTGAAAAGCAATTACTGTGCGATGCAGCACTCCAGGAGAAACGTGATCTCGAGCAAGCTGCTCATGATACCCGAATGGCTGAAGTGGATGCAAGGCTTAAAGTTGAGGCCGACGCTATTGCAGATGCCAATACTGCGAAGCAGAGAGAAGCTATGATCAAGCAGAAGGAACGAGAAATTCAAGAGGCAAAAGTTCATGTGCAGAAACCTGCAGGTTCCTCAAAGGACGGCAGTGCAAACACATCCGAACCATCATCCTCTTTCACACAGAAATCCTCTAATCCTTCATCTGCTCCTTCGCAACCTCCCGACCAACGAAACTCTGCCGCTCATGATGACTGGGAGTCACAGAAGAGGCTCTTGGGCGAGCAGAACGACGCGATTGATAGCATCATGGCGATGACTGGACTGGAAGGAGTGAAGTCGCAAGTCTTAGAAACCAAGGAGAAGCTAGACTTGATGAAACACCAGGGAACCCCAGCGAATAAGGAGCGTCTGAATCTTGCGCTCTTGGGAAATCCAGGGACAGGTAAGAGCCTTCCTTTGAAATAATCTATTCGCGCTCAGCACATGGTAACTTTCCTGCAGGGAAGACAACAGTCGCGAGTCTGTATGCTCAGTTTCTCGAATCGATCCAAGTGCTTCCAGGGAACGCATTCAAGGAGACAACAGGAGCGAGTCTGGCACATGATGGTGTCGGTGGTGCAAAGAAGCTCATTGAAGATGCTATGAAACTCGGCGGTGGTGCCATATTCATCGATGAGGCCTATCAGCTAGTTAGTGGACAGAGTGGTTCCGGTACCGACGTTCTCGACTATCTGCTAGTGGAAATGGAGAACCGGGTTGGAAGCCTGGTTTTCATCCTTGCTGGGTACAGCCGTCAGATGGAGAAATTCTTCAATCATAATCCAGGTCTTCCGAGTCGTGTCCCGCATAGATTCACCTTTGAGGACTACAGCAACAAAGACCTCCTTGACATGCTCGCTGATCTGGTGGATAAACAATATAGAGGCCAGATGAAGGTCGAAGATGGCATTCGAGGTCTCTATAGTTGAATTGCAGTCCGACGCCTAGGCCATGGCCGCGGCCGCGAAGGCTTTGGCAATGCCCGTGCACTGCAAAATATGTTTGCGCAGATACACCAGCGACAAGCTGCGAGGGTAGGAAAAGAACGCAAGAACGGATCATCACCAGACGATTTCTTGCTCGTTAAGGAGGATCTCATTGGTCCCAATCCGGACACCGTTCTTCCGCACTGCCCTTCTTGGATGAAGTTGCAAAAGCTTACTGGTCTTGAATCCGTGAAGCAATCTGTCAGCAACCTCTTCAATCTCATCAGGGCGAACTATCATCACGAGTTGGCAGAAAAGCACCCTCTTGACATGGCCCTTAATCGGGTTTTTCTTGGCTCCCCAGGTACTGGTAAGACCACCATCGCCAAACTCTATGGTCAAGCGCTGGCAGACCTAGGGCTTCTCAGTAACAGTGAAGGTTCGGTGTTCTGCGGACGAATGTTCGAGGATCATTACCTGACTGTTGTCTTTAGTCGTGGTGAAGAATCCTTCAGATTTTGTCGGACAACATCTCGGGCACTCTGAACAGAACACTAAGGCCATCTTGGAGAGCACCGTCGGAAAAGTCCTGGTCATTGATGAGGTGGGTATACATCCCTGCCTCCACCTCGTGGTTCTCACTGTCTCGCTAGGCATACATGCTACACAGTAAGAATGGTGGTGCCCAGGACCCCTACAAGACCGCCGTCATCGACACCATGGTTGCAGAGATACAGAACGTGCTGGGGGATGATCATTGTGTCTTACTTTTGGGATACAAAGAACAGATGGAGGACATGTTCAAGGCAGGTCACCTACGACTTCGTGGTAAATGACTGACTCTAACGTGTGTTGGATCAGGACGTTAATCCTGGCTTTGCTCGGCGCTTTGCAATTGAGGACACTTTCATGTTTGAAGACTTCACCGAGCCCCAGCTACAGGAAATATTTGAATGCAAGCTAAAGGATCAAGACCTTGGTGCAACAGAGAAAGCAAAAGCAAGTAGCCATGGGTGTTCTGAGCTGAAGAAAGAACCGTCTGAACTTTGGAAATGGAGGAGAAGTGGAAAATATGCTGACTTTTGCGAAAGATCGATATCTAAAGCGACAGACATCGACACCTTCCCATATGTCTCTGGATATTATCTTCGAACCAGAAGACTTTGATCCTAAGTGGGACTGCAATCAGCACGCTGCAGCAAACTTGGTTCAGTTGTTTGAAGATATGGTTGGATGTGAAGCCGTTATCCAGAAGCTGGGAGATTATCAGAACATGGCTCAAGGGATGAAAGCATTGGGACTGGATATGCGCAAGCAAATTCCTACCAGCTTCATTTTCAAGGGACCCCCTGGTAATCAAATCACGTCCAATGTTGTTCATGTGTTAATGTCTTCTCCTCAGGAACCAGAAAGACGACCATCGCAAGGAAATTCGGTCAAGTTTATTATGACATGGGCTTCCTCGCGTCGACCGAACTGGTAGAGTGTTCTGCGTCGGATCTCGTTGGCGAGTATGTTGGCCAAACAGGTCCCAAGACGAAGAAACTTTTCGAGAAGGCCATCGGCAAAGTCCTCTTTGTAGATGAAGCCTATCGCCTCAGCCAAGGACATTTTGCACAGGAAGCCATTGATGAAATCATAGGGCTGATGACCAACAAGAAGTTCATGGGTAAGATGGTCATCATCCTAGCAGGATACGAGAAGGAGATGAATCAGCTTTTGGGCGCGAACCTCGGTCTTTCCAGTCGATTTTCTGAGGATTTCATTCTGCCTAATATGTCGTCATCCCGATGCCTCGACCTGCTTGACAAGGAGCTGCGCAGGTCAAAGGTTGTCGTCCCAGGGCTGTCTGATCCATCGTCATCACTGCACAAGGAGATGCTAAGCATCATCGTTGATATGGCGAGCCTCGACAACTGGGGTAATGCACGTGACGTAAAGTCTATTGCTAAAAAGTTAGCTCACCCTGTGTTCATCTCAGCTGGGAAAGCTCCAGGGGGTTTACTGGTTGTTGCACCAGAAGATGCGTTGAGTATCATGAGAAATCTGCTCTCTGAGCAGCGAGAACGTCTCATCTTGCCAAGCAAGGTTGTGCCATCGGCCACCAGCGTCCCACAGATGGCTATGTCAAAAAACTCCGCACCTCCTCCTCCTTCGACTTCTCAGAGCGTGTCCACTACAGCTCCTCCAAAACCTCCCACTTACTCTGCTACTCGTAAACGTAAACGAACACAACAACCTCCATCCAACAAGGAATCCCCACCAGCTCCTCCAAAACCTCCCACTTACAAACCTCCTGCTACTCGTAAACGCAAACGAACACAACAACCTCCATCCAACAAGGAATCCCCGCCAGCTCCTCTAAAACCTCCTGCTACTCGTAAATGTAAACGAACACAACAACCTCCATTCAACAAGGAATCCCCGCCAAACACTACGGCTTCATCCCAGGTTAGTGCCATAAACAACACAGAGACAGGGAAGAGATCATTAAAACAGAGTTCAACTTTGCTTGCCCAGACAAACGATCAAGTGCAATGGGATCCCGGCGTAGATGATGCTACCTGGGCACAACTACAGGCGGATAAGGCAGCTGCGGAAGCAGCCGAAAAGGATGCTGCTGAAGAGTTGCGCAAGCGTCATCTCGCGCAGCAGAAGGCCCTGAACAAACTACGAGCTGCAGAAGCTGCTGCGCGGAAACTCGCACAGAAAGTAGCGAAGGATAACGCCACCAACAATGAGCTCATGCACCAGCGAGAGGCCACTCACATCCGAGAACTAGAGGCTAAAGCCGCTCGAGAGAAGGCCATAGCCGCACTGAGGGAGAGCAGAGGAAGACAGGAAAAAGCGCGAGGAGGCTAGAGTACAGCAGAAGTTGTGGCAAATGGGTGTGTGTGTTGCAGGCTTTTGCTGGATCAAGCAGGCGGGAGGTTACAGATGCGCTGCAGGTGGCCATTACATTTCCAATGCCCAGCTGGGTATCTAGGTTGGATTAGACGTCACAGCGTCACAACCCACTTGATCAAGACGGTCATGCATAATTTAGTCTCCTAGGTAAACCATGGACGAAGGAAGACTAGGGTTCTTATTCTTGTTTGCACGCATTGAATTCCCCACTGTAAAGTACTTACTTGCTGCTTATGTAACTCGAAGAATCAAATTGACCAAGGCCGCCATGCACATCACTTGCAGTCTGTCATTGAATATATTGAAACCTCGAGTGAACCGTCAAGTAAGACTGCTAATAAGATTGGGACGCTCGAGCTCATTTGAGTACAAGATTGAGGAATAAAGCTTCAGTGCGTCGGAAGATATGAATAGCAAAATATTGATCGTCTTGCAGGAAGTGGCTGACGAGTCTAGCTGACACAAGAGACGGGCTGAAAATCGAGTGACATGATACCAGATCTAGTAATACTTAAAGTGAACATGGGGATAACGAATCGTTGAGGGCAGTTTCAAGAAAATATTTTGTGGCTCTTCATAATGGTGACCTAGGTGTCCGTTGTACTAAGCGCTACCAAAGAACTCGATGTGTAGAGTAACACTTGGGCCGCCAGTTGGCTACACTGAGAGGGCCAAACATTGGGATTTGAAGGGCATGATGAACAGATCGAACTATCCCCTGTGAGCCACACACTACAAGTAGAGTAAGTGCACTTGTATTTTGTAGCATATGGAGACAGGAGGCTGACCATTAACAGACATTCTGCCCGTCGCCATTTCCATTTCATCTCTGAGCATGGCTGGCAGGTTGGGCCTTCCAGTTTGAACCTTGACCGACTCTATGGCGAAAAGGGAGTCCACGCTTTTATCCATAGCTGTTCCCTCCTGCAACACCACCAGTCTCGGAGTGATCAAACACCGGTTTGGCGTCATCACTCGAAGAATGTGGCAAGGTCTCGATAGTTTCTGGTCTACCGGTAACGTGTATGCGGATTGAGATGGATAAAGAAGGAGGCACATACTGCAGTCACTTTACCCTTGATACTAGCAGCCAGCTGAGGGTGAAAATTCCCTGTTCCAAACAGGCCAGCTGATGTGGGCCCATCAATGTACTGTTCTGTTAAATACAGGTGGGCCCATAGTATGTGGTATAGGAAATAAGTGTACAATTTTCTATTGAATTTGGTAGATAGTGTGGTTGTTAGTATATGAAATATGTACCTGATACAAACAGGTGGGCCTATGGTATGCGGTGTAGGGTGTAATAGATAAGCATAGATATTTCTATTGATTTTGGTTGATAGTGTATGGTAGGTAGCATATGAAATATGTACCTGATACAAACAGGTGGGCCGGTCAAGGTGTGTTTGTGATACCAACAGGTGGGCCGAGTGGGTCAGGGATCTGATATATCAGATGGGCCTAGGATACTGGTCAGTCAATGGGGGTCAGTCGGTCAATGGGGTGTTGGATTCAGGAACAAAAGAGCAAGAGATAGTAAAGTGAAATGGTACGAGTGCAACCCGAGAATGTGAAGCACGACGCTTTGACGTTGGCCGAGAATACTAATATTGAATTGTCTATTCCTAAGCTACGGTATATTTATTTATTGCTAAGCTACTTACTATAAACCTATAAGTTTTCGTTAGAACATCTCAGTCCTTACTCGAGACTGAGATGTGAGTACTTACTTTTCCCGTCTACGTAAATTGAGCTAACATACCCATAGATTATATTCTTATCAGGTACTAGATTAATTTACATCGAGTCCTTACTCGAGACTGAGATATTATATTCTTATCAGCTCCTCCCGTTCGCGTTCGCTCAGCTCGCATAACTACAGGTTATGAGCCCTGACTCAACCATGGATACCACACTCCCCAGTAACACCTCTGCCCTCTTCAACATCCCCAAGTTAGCCGAAGACGGTTCAAATTGGATAACCTACAAGGAAAGAACGTTGACGTCCATAGGTGCTCAAGGTTTGATGTGTTATACCAATGGTCGAGCGACGAAACCGATCCTGTTTAAAGTCAACCCGACGACGAAGAGCGTTATGAAGCCTGATGGCTCGACGCCTACGCCTACAGAGATCAAGGAGTTAGAGAAAAGAATGGATGAGTTCTTCCAAAAGGACTCACTCATTAAGCAGCACATATTCAGCACTATCACTGATCGCATGCTCCTCCACGTTCAAAAGCTAGAGGACGCCTCGAAGATCTGGGCTGAAATATGTGATATTCACGAGGGTAAAACTGAACTCGTTCAAATTGACCTGTGCCGTCGATTGCAAGAAATGAGGTGTGAAGAGAACGGTGATGTAAAAGCTCACTTTAGTGAGATGCTTTGGCTCCGCGATTCATTGGCAGGCATGGGTGCCACCATCGAGGACAGAGACTTCTACGCGATCCTATTAGGATCTCTCCCAGAATCCTATCGACCCCTACTTTCCTCCATAAACGCAGCCGTGAAGGTTACCCAAACGCCCCTCAACCCCTCTGAACTCATTAACATTGTATCCGAAGAGTACGAGCATAGGCTCCTCATGGATCGACGTGGTTCAAAGAAGGGCAACAGCGCTGCTTTAATGGCAAAGGGAGGTCCTGGAAAGGGCTGCAAGGCTGGCGGATCGACCCAAGCCAACCCTGACGTGACCTGTTTCAACTGCGATAGAAAGGGCCACTACAAGAGCGACTGTTGGAGGCCAGGAGGAGGAAAGGAAGGGCAAGGGCCCAATCAGTGTCAGAAGAAGGGTCCGCGCTCACCAAAGGAAGGCGCGAATGCAGCAGCATCCACCCCAGAGTCCGAAACGAACTATGCCTTTGCAACGTCAGACCTCGCTGGTATAGCTGGGCAGATGAACATACCCGTTGAACGACGCGGCGCAATTATAGACTCTGGCGCCACCTCCCATTTCTGTCCCGACCGTTCGAAGTTTCTCAACTTCGTTCCCATAGAGCCTCAAGATGTGCATACGGCTGACGGATCGGCTGTTAGTGCTATCGGGAAAGGTGACGTCCAGTTGGACTTACCAAATGGAAAGGGCCGAACATCTGTTACTCTGCATAACACGCTATATGTGCCCAAGATGGCCTTCACCTTAATATCCACCCGTCGTATAACAGTGGGCAGTCTCACGGTTCACTTTGAAGACAAGGTCTGTAAGATCATGTCCCCTGGACCTGACCGCACTGTCATAGCTACTATTCCCCAAGTTGAGGGGCTATACAGCGTCGCCGCACATTCTAAGCACTATGCTAATCTCGCTACAACCAAACTCACCATCCACGACCTGCACAAGACCCTTGGCCATATCTCACAGGCGGCTGTAAAGCACGCCATTGACAAGGGCCTAGTCCGCGGTCTCGACCTCGACTCCTCCTCGAAGGACGAGTTCTGTGATGCCTGTGTAAAGGCAAAGTCAACACATCGCCTATTTCCGAAGGAATCCAAGAGACGAGCAGAGACTTATGGTGAAGTCATCCACAGCGACCTATGGGGACCAGCGCAGACGGTCAGCCTGGCCGGATCAAGCTATTACATGAGCTTTACCGATGACTACTCGAGGGAGACGGCCGTGATCTTCTTGAAGCAGAAGAGCAAAGCCCTAGACACATTTCGTCAGTATGAAACCAAGCTCACCATGCAGCACGATGGTCGCTGAATCAAGACGCTTCAGTCTGATAGAGGTGGTGAGTACTTGAGTGCAGAATTCAATGCGCACCTAAAAGATCGCGGCATAGCTCGCGAGCTGACCATGCACGACTCTCCTCAACAGAATGGAGTGGCGGAAAGGCTCAATCGCACTCTGGTCGAGCTTGCCCGCGTGATGTTGATAGCGCGGGACTTACCCAAGTTTCTGTGGGCGGAGGCGATTAACTATGCAGTATGGTTGAAAAATCGCTTACCGTCTAGCGCCATCCCAGGTCATACCCCCTTCGAGCTCGTGAATGACTGTGTTCCAGACTTATCGCAGGCCCGTGAGTTCGGTTGTCCTGTCTTTGTGCACCTGGAGCACACAGGGAAGCTTGAGGCGCGTGCATAGGAAGCACTCTTTGTGGGTATAGATGCTGAGAGCAAGGGTTATCGCGTCTATTGGTCGTTGAGGCGAAAGGTGTTGGTCGAGAGGAATGTGATGTTTGGTCCATCTGGGGTTGTAGTGGGCGAAGTTGCCCAGAATGAGGGGGAGTCATTATCTGTTAGCGCTAACCAACCCGCTCAGAATAGTACCAGCACACCTAGCGTTCCGGTCACTCCACCACTCCAACCTCCCGCTACCCCAATTCAACCGTCTCACCAACTCCAAACGCTGCCTGCTCCGAGAACTACCCGAGTTCAACCCCCACCAGGCTACTATGCGACGCTGAACGAGGGTGAAAGAGCAAGTCTAGCGGCCGAATCTGTATTTGACCCATCAGAATCAGATCTTGCAGATGAAGAGGCGATCACTCACTGGCAGCAGTATGCTCTAGCAGCCGCTGAAGCAGAACCGACTCTAGCGCAAGCATTAAACAGTCCAGACGCGGTAGAATGGCAAGAGGCGATTGACTACGAAATTAGTCAACTCGAGAAACTTGGAACCTGGGAAGTAGCTGACAAACCGTTGGGTGCTAATATAATTCCCTGCCACTATGTCCTAGTGACTAAGCACGGGCCAGACGGCCAGAAGTTGAAACTGTGGGCTAGACTTGTTGCAAATGGCCAGCGTCAGCAGTATGGACAGGATTACTTCGAGACCTTCGCACCGACTTCCAACATGTCTACAATCAGAGCCGTTCTCACCATGGCCGCCCAGCAGGACTGGGAGATACATCAAGTGGACATAAAGAGCGCTTACCTTTATGCAGAGATTAAGGAGACCATTTATATGAGGGTGCCTCCTGGGTACTTGAAGAAGGGAGATGAAGGGAAGGTTTTGAGGCTGTTGAGGAGTCTGCCCAGTTTGAAACAAGCTGGATTCGAGTGGTCGGAGGAATTAGTGGGAGCGTTTAGGAAGATGGGGTTCTCCCGGTCGCAAGTAGACCAGGCGGTCTACTTCAAGTGATCGCAGGAAGAGCATACAGGTTATTACCGTCTCCGTGGATGACATGGCCGTTACATTGAGGGAGATGGAACACATCAGACGCTTTAAGGCGCAGATACGCGAGCATTTTGAAATCACTGACCTAGGTGAACTTCATTGGTTGCTCGGCCTCAAAGTAACAAGGGACCGTGTTGCTTGAACCATTACCCTGTCGCAAAACGCCTACGTCGACACGATAGTCGAACACTTCTATCTCACCGACGCCAAGAACGCCCAAACTCCCATGGATACTGGGACTATCCTATCCGACTCTCAATCCCCCTGCGACTCACACGCAGCTCGAAGACATGCGCGACATACCATATCAACACAGCAATAGGATCAGCTGATGTATGCAGCCACCAGCACCCTGACCCGATATCGCATTCTCCATCGCGACTCTCTCGCAATTCATGTGGAATCCCAGTAGAGTCCATTGGGAGGCTGCCAAGCACGTCATACACTACCTCAAAGGTACTTCTGACCTTGGACTTACACTAGGAGCTACAGACGCAGGGTTAGAAGCGTATGTTGACGCTGACTGGGCATCTCAGCCCCATCGCCACTCTATGTCAGGCTATATCGTGTTGTTAAACGGTGGTCCGGTAGCATGGAGTGCTCGGAAGCAACCTCTGATCGCACTCTTGACAGCTGAAGCCGAGTACATTGCTCTAACGACCGTCGCAAGAGAGATCCTATACCTCCAGCTATTGATCGAAGAGCTGTACGAGCCACCCCCTATTCCTACCCCAGTCTACTGTGACAACCAGGCCGCCATAGCGCTCGCATCTAACAACAAGTTTCAATCTCGCACCAAGCATATTGATCTACTGATACCACTTCATCCGCGCTCACGTCAAGAACAGCACGTTCGCACTGACCTATTGCCCCACCTGACGACAATATTGCAGATGCTTTTACCAAAGCTCTAGTGTGCCCACTGACTTCAGAAGTTACGCAGGCTAATGAGCTTGGATTGCGCTCAAGGGGGAGTGTTGGATTCAGGAACGAAAGAGCAAGAGATAGTAAAGTGAAACGGTACGAGCGCAACCCGAGAATGTGAAGCACAATGCTTTGACGTCGGCTGAGAATACTAATATTGAACCGTCTATTCCTAAGCTACGGTATATTTATTTATCGCTAAGCTACTTACTATAAACCTACAAGTTTTCGTTAGAACATCTCAGTCCTTACTCGAGACTGAGATGTGAGTACTTACTTTTCCTGTCTACGTAAATTGAGCTAACATACCCATAGATTATATTCTTATCAGGTACTAGATTAGTTTACATCGAGTCCTTACTCGAGACTGAGATATTATATTCTTATCAGCTCCTCCCGTTGGCGTTCGCTCGGATCACATAACTACATGGGGGTCGGTCAATGGGGGTTGGTAGGTCAATTTGGTAGGTCAATGGGGTCGGTTGGTCAATGGGGGTTGGTCAATGGGGTCGTTGTCAATGGGGTTGGTCAATGGGGTAGGTTAATGGGGGTCAGTAGGTCATTGGGTCGGTCGGTCAATGGGGGTCGGTCGGTCAATGGGGGTCGGTCGGTCAATGGGTTGGTAAGTCAATGGGTCGGTCGGTCAATGGGTCAGTCGGTCACAAAAACATCAGTTGAGATATGACTGAAGTCAAAAACATCGGTCAAGATATGGCCGAAATTGAAAAAATCAGCCGAGGTATGACTGAAATCGAAAACATCAGTCAAGATATGGCCGAAATTGAAAACATCGGCCGAGACATGATTGAAATGGCCGAGATATGACTGAAGTCAAAAACATCGGTTGAGATATGGCCGAAATTGAACACATTGGCCGAGGCATGACTAAAACGGCTGAGGTATGACCAAAATCAAAAACATTGGTCGGGATATGACTGAAGTCAAAAACATCGGTCAAGATATGGCCAAAATCCAAAACATCGGCCAAGACATGATTGAAATGGCCAAGATATGACTGAAGTCAAAAACATTGGTCGGGATATGACTGACCAAAATCCAAAACATCGGTCTAGATATGGCCGAGATATGACAAAAATCAAAAACATCAGTCGGGATATGGCCAAAATCAAAAACATCGGTTGGGATATGACTGAAATCAAAAACATCGGTCTAGATATGGCCGAGATTGAAAACATCACCTGAGGCATGACTGAAATGGCCGAAGTATGACAAAAATCAAAAACATCGGTCACAATATGACCGAGATTGGAAACATCAGCTGAGGCATGACTGGAATGGCTGAAGTATGACAAAAAATCAAAAACATCGGTCAGGATATGACCGAAATCCCACACATGGGCCGAGATATGACCAAAATCAAAAACATCGGTCACAATATGGCCGAGATTGGAAACATCAGCCGAGGCATGACTGAAATGGCTGGGATATGACAAAAATCAAAAACATCGGTCTAGATATGGCCGAGATTGAAAACATCGGCCGAGGCATGACTGAAACGACCCAAGTATGACAAAAATCCAAACATCGGCTGAGATATGACTGAAGTCAAAAACATCGGTCAGGATATGACCAAAATCAAAACATCGGTCTAGATATGGCCGAGATATGACAAAAATCAAAAACATCAGTTGGGATATGGCCAAAATCAAAAACATCGGTCGGGATATGACTGAAATCAAAAACATCAGTCTAGATATGGCCGGGATTGAAAACATCGGCCGAGGTATGACTGAAATGGCCAAGATATGTCCGAAATCAAACACATCAGTCAAGATATGACTGAAATCAAAAACATCGGCCGAGATATGACCGAAGTCAAAAACATCATCGGCCGAGGCATGATTGAAACAGCTGAGATATGACCGAAATCAAAAAGATCGGTCAAGATATGGCCAAGATATGACTGAAATCCATTCCTAAGCTCATTTGGAGTGTATATATTATATAGCCAGCCCAGGACACACATAGGATCCTTCTACAGGAACAAAATGATAGAAAATCGCATTTTTGGCATTTTTGATGTTTTTCAGTATCTTACCCTTGCACATCTGATCAACCCTGTTCATATATCATGAGAATAGTATATATACCTCCTTTCATGATGAAGATCAGTTCAAAATAGGTTGTTGGTTTGAGATACTGCATATGCTTGCTATTTCTACTGATAAGAGATCAATACCTTCAAATCATCAAAATTTAATAATCAGAAACTTGTAGTACATTCACAATATATTCAGTATCATATGTATAAATTTACAGAACAATCCAACAAGAATTGAATGCTGAGGAAGTGAAATAGATAAGAAATTGAGTGTGAGAAAGCTCAAGGACCCAAAACATCGAAAATGGTCAGTTGAGCAATAGTAGGGCTTTAATGCTAGGTCAACACACATTTACACTGCATCCCTTCCACTCACCCCCTACCCTCAGGGCAGTAGGTAGTATGGGTTCCTTAGGTAGTTTACGGTCTATCCTACATATTTTTAATGAAATCTTCAACTTGAATTATATATAAATGTGACTTTGTGCAGTTGCCTACCTGTTGCAAAAACCAAAAGACCACTCCAGGATCAATTTCAACTGATCATTTTGGACCCAGTTGCCTTCAAATGGGTAGTACTCATCTAGGCGAACACCTTGGTGGTCTAATGTAGATCTGAGAAAGTTATGAGCCATAATTCAGATTTCAGTCACATCTCAGCCAGCCGATGTCTTGCATTTATTTAGCTTATATCTCGGTCAGATGATAACCGATTGACATAATAAGACTATGGATATGATCGCCTTTACTGGGGCTACAACTGTTGTTAACAATGTGAAGCATAAAAACAACTTTCGGCCTGCCGATATTTTGGATCTCAGTCATACTACTTAGATCTTGACCGATGTTTTTGATTTTGGTCATATCCCAACCAATGTTTTTGACTTCAGTCATATCTTGGCCATTTCAATCATGTCTCGGCCGATGTTTTGGATTTTTGTCATACTTGGGCCATTTCAGTCATGCCTCGGCTGATGTTTTCAATCTCGGCCATATCTAGACCGATGTTTTTGATTTTTGTCATACTTCGGCCATTTCAGTCATGCCTCGGGCGATGTTTTCAATCTCGGCCATATCTAGACTGATGTTTTTGATTTCAGTCATATCCCGACCAATGTTTTTGATTTTGGCCATATCCCGACTGATGTTTTTGATTTGTGTCATACTTCGGCCATTTCAGTCATGCCTCGGCCGATGTTTTCAATCCCGGCCATATCTAGACCGATGTTTTTGATTTCAGTCATATCCTGACCAATGTTTTTGATTTTTGTCATATCTCGGCCATTTCAGTCATGCCTCAGCCAATGTTTTCACTCTCGATGTTTTTGATTTCAGTCATATCCCGACCAATGTTTTTGATTTTTGTCATATCTCGGCCTTTTCAGTCATGCCTCAGCCGATGTTTTCAATCTTGGCCATATCTAGACCAATGATTTTGACTTCACCATTTCAATCATGTCTTGGCCGATGTTTGGATTTTGGCCATATCTTTACCGATGTTTTTGACTTCAGTCATATCCTGGTCGATGTTTTGGATTTTGGTCATATCCCAACCAATGTTTTTCATTTTTGTCATTATCCGTTGTCATCAGCCCATTTGATAGTATCAGCTCCTATCGGCCCACCTGATTGCATCAGCCAACACATGTTGTCGGCCCATACGATGGCTTCACACCCATCATCGGCCGACTGGTACACACAGCTACTATATTCCACATCAGCCCAGCTGATAACATCACACACTCCACCATTTTTCCCTGGCCATCAGCTGACATGATAATATCAAGTATCACTACATATGGGCCCACCTGTTAAAATCGACTCCCACTGAGACCACCAGCTGAACGTTAGACACGGGAAAATATTTTCGGTCAGCCGAGGTCCGCTGGCCTGTTTGGAACAGGGAATTTTCACCCTCGGCTGCCTGTTTTATACAGGGTATGTGACTGAATGGGCTCAAGGAGGTGCAAGTTGAAGTGCTCGGATGAGAGTCTCGTCGATCCCGTGAATGTAGTCTGGCAAACATCAATGTTGACCTTGACAAGGCCTCAAGCCGATGCATGAACAATACTCACCAGTGTTCCGAACTGACCAGATGAAGACCACACGGCCACAGCTGCTTTTACTGTTGCGGACACTTCTGAAAAAAAAAATGGGTTGAAATTATACAAACGGTAAGCCAGTCGACATACTCTATTATATGCAACAATATCGGTAACATATACGAGACTCCAGATCCACCTAAAATAGAACATGTAAGAGCAGTACTCGCAGAAACTTCGGCGACTAACCAGCAATGAGCACGAATGTGTCGTATGAACCCAGGTTAAGAGCCGGTCCATATGGTCCATCGATAAAGACTTTGACTTTTTCACCCTTCGAGGCAGCTTCTTTCAAGCGGGCGGTGAATCCCTTCCCCACGTTGACGAAAAACACCAGCTCCTTCCAGAAGGGAGCACTAGATCCAAGATCCCGTTCTGTGATCTGAGTAGTATATCTTTCGCCCTGAGGCTGCTGAACCTGAAGCACATCAAAAAGGTTCAAATTAAAACTGGCAATGGTGAAAGGGTGGGCCTCGAACGGCAAGTGTGAGACGGTTGGCATGATAAGATAGGCAGTTTACCCAGGGGACCAGCGGAAATGAGATGGGTGGTGGAAACATAACCGAACAAAGTCGTCGGATAGGAGTTCAACAGTCGTGTCCATCATAGATCCTGACCTGAATCCAAAGTATGAGTGATTAAACACCACAATACCAAGGACATGAATAAGGCGGTCCAGTCCCCAGATTACAAAACAGGGATAGATCCAGTAGGTAACTCTGGCGACCACAAGTTATGAATATTGGAGTTGTGTATTTGATAAAACTCACTCATCATCTAAGATCATGTGTGTAGAAGTAAGCACAGATGAGGAAAGTGCTGAAATAAACATTGTGTCATTTCACCAATACAATATAACTGGAGCAGACTCACAGAACCATAGTGAAATGAATGTAGAAGAAAAGCTCATAGGCTTGTGCTTGGATGGGGCGCCAAGAGAAAACACATGGAATGGTCAATAGGGGAGCTCACATGTGACGTTCGTTAAAAGGCTTAGGCTCCCAACACCTAAATGGTTACCGATTAATAGATAGATCAACTCTGATATATTCTCCCCCTTATTTATTCCTTGTTATTCCTTTTATTCCTACTTTCCCTGATCCTCTCTAACCTATATAAACTAGCATACTTAGTGTAAGATCGGGAGTTGATCCTTTACCCCCCAAAATAAAGCTTAGTTCGGCCAGTTTACTACTGTTCGAACCCTAAGTCCTCTCTCAAGTCAACTCAATTCTCATGTGTACGTTCTTAGAACACCACATATTTTTAAACTCGAATTCTAAAGCTCTACCTATCTCTTAACTCTAAGGCCGCCGATTGATGAGGACTGATCACCCTCCGAACCGACGACCCTTCCTGTACCTATCCCTTACCACCTCCCGTTAGAAGAACAAAAAGATGTCGACTACTTCTATTGATGCATCAAAAGACTCGTCTTGAAGCTCCTCTCCTCATAGGGATGAGTTGAGTAAAGATGGAGGCGCTCTCGAACTGGGTATCGAAAGTGCCTGGACTCATGACGAAACATTCGTCACTGGAGTCGAGCTGTCGGACAGTCAAAGGGCAGAACCCCCGACTAGCGACCAGCTATCCACTGAAGATGCAGAAGGAGCACTGGGTGCCCCCATAGAAACTAGCACCCCTCTCATTTTTAGTAATGAGGGCGATGGGACCAAGCCCCCGTCAGATAACACGAGTAGGGGTTCGGCTCCGATGAGCATATCCCCACTCCTCCGAAGCGTTGCTGGGCAACCCTCTCCGATACTACTTGACGTGGCAATTAAAATTGATGATAGCCCAAACCGTAGTACAGTCAAAATGAGTGAACCACGAGTCAATATCAGCTGGGCTGACCTCCCTATCGACGACGACAAATTAGGCGACTTACCCGAATTCCCAGCTCAAAGCCCAAAGAGCAAGGCTTCATCCTTGGGCTCCCCCCCACGTATCCCCGCTGAACTTAAAGGTAAATCAGTAGATACACAAGAACGAAAAATCCTACCGCCGAAAGACTGGCTAGACCAATGGTCAGACCTTGATGAAGGACTTGTAGAAGCATTGCGACCAGGATCCAATGACCCAGACACTTCCTTGCGGGATATCTGGGATGAGGATAATAAACGGTTATCCATACAACTACAAAACCTTTACCTAAGATAATACCACAACCATGTGAAAGAAGAACTGGTTGAGCAGTCCGTCATGGTGACCTGACCTTCAGGAACGAGTCAGAGAACTCAAGACCCTAATTATTCAGAGTCAAACCAGGGAAGAAGAAGCTCGGAAACAAGTTAGAGAAGCTCACCAAGCCCCTGCCGTCAGCGTCCAACTCCCCCCTCCTAACCAAGAGGGTGAGAACACGACCAAGGGCTATTCTGATCCTCATATCACTAGGCCCCAAAGGACCGAGCAAGCTAAGTCGAGCTCATGCAAGCCTGAACTGACTGAGGTACCAGAGAGCCTCTTCCAGTTCTCCCAGCGAGCAGCTCAGTCAAATGAGCGATGCTTGGTAACAGTCACAGAGATCCTGACCCTGATAACTCGCCATCCGAGTCGTCCGAAGATGATGAGGAGTCCTCGACTGAATCCAGTTCTGAAGATGAGACCCCAGTTATCAAAAGAAAGACTGCACTCCCAAATCGCCCCTTTAACACGAAGTCTAATGATAACCAGGACCCGGATCACAGTAGCCTCTATCCCACCAATGACTTTGGAGCTGACTTTCTCGCTCTTGAGCCCGAATTGGACCATGCTAGCGACTCCCCAGATACCAAGCGCTTGAAAAGGACTGCAAGGAGGCAGTATTGAGCCAAACTGAATCTGCTCAAATATCAACAAAGTTTCATCAAAAATGAACCACCGTTCACCTATAATGGCGATGCTAACTCCACTACATTTAAGAAGTGGGTTCGTGAAGTTCGCGATTGGAAGGATCGCGCCAGATTAACGACAGGTCAAAGCCTACGCATGCTCGGAAAGTATCTGAGCAGGACAGGCCTACCGATTCTATGAGTGCAACATACTTGACCTAGAGAAATCGTACTCACTTACCGAGTTCTTCGAACAGCTATTTGACTACGTGTTTCCCCCTGACTTTAGGATGCAACAACGTCAGAAACTTATTGAGTGCTACCAGGAGAACAGACAGAGCGTACGTGATTACTTGAGACGTCTCAGGACACTCTCCTGATACGGCTGGAGACGTAGATGAATGCGAGATGGTAAGACAGTTCTGGATGAACTGTCTCCGCTACCTAAAAGCCTCTTTAGTCGATAAAGGCTATGAACCAAACACGGTAAGCCTTGAAACGATCGAAAAGAAAGCTTTGCACACCGAGAGAGCATTCCTCAAAAACGCCAAGGATCCGAACATCCTACTGGCCATCAACCCGACCTTAGCCACTGGATATGCCCAGAGTAATGGTCGAAACTGACCACAGAGAATTGCAGCACGGTAATAGGATGGACAAACTGGCCCCGGACTCAATCCATCTCAGCCAATGCCATCCATCACTGAACGCCTCATGACCCACGAGGACGCAGTCACCCTCAGCCCAGGAGCACCCCCTTCTAGGGCCCCTGGGAATCCAGAGAGGTCTAAGAAGGCCCCTGAACACCTAAAACGGCTTCGTGACCTTAACCAGTGTTTTGAGTGCGAACAAATGGGACACTTAGCTAAAGATTGCCCGAAACGCCACCGTCTGACATTCAAACCTCCTGGACGCAACCCCCCAGCCATCCGAGCGAACGCGGTCAGCATCTCTAGCACTGATATTAGTATAAGGACTGAGGTGAGTTCTAAGGGGAATCGAAAGGATTGATCGAGGAAGGTAGGAAATTGTGAGAGAGGATGGTAGCAAGTTGACTAGAGATCAAACTGATGATGCAGACAGAGATGTTTTTGACTTTGACTGAATGTTTGGATGGCTGCGAGAATATGGATTACTGAGAGGGAGTTGATTCACTAATTAAACAAGAATTACATGTAACTTTTTATACTGGCGGGAGAATGGACAAAGCACTATCAAAGCGTGAGTAGCGAGAAGAAAGGCAAAGCGAGACGTGAAAGGTGTGGCGTAGGTACAAAGAATAATTGGGAACATGTGGTGATGGCGATAAGGACAAAGGCTAAACATGAATTGATGTAAATATGGACAGAAAAGGAAATAGAAGAGAAGGCAGTGCGTGATATGTCACAGTCATTGAAGGATTGGTTGAAGCTGAGCTTTCATCGTTAAAGGCTGCAGCCTTTCTTACACCTCCCCCCAACCAGAAATATCAACTGTCCCAGTTGATCCTCAAACAACTATTCATGCTCTGGGGCAGTGCCGACAAGGTCAGTCTGGATTAAGGAACTGTGTGACTTTGAGTGTTGACAAGGATTGAGGGTGATAGGGAATGATTCGGAATGCGGCGAATCTGAGACGTGAGACTGCACCGTCAAGTTTGGCGAGTAGGTAGGAGCCACCAGCAGCACGGGAGATGACTACCATAGGTCCGAAATACCGCGGTTTACACTTGGCGTTGACGCAGCTTCAATCTTCTTGTTGAGAACCAGCACTAGCGCACCAGGTTGGAAATTGTAGTCGCATATGGCATGGGCAAATCGTCATTCGAAGTCTGTGACAGATGTGAACCAGGCCTTGAGAATGTGTTTGTGGATGTCGGCTAAGTCGTCTTCGTGTTTCATAAGCTGATGAGCATGAGCCGCAATCAAGTCCTCGGTGGACTGAGGGGATGCGATATCGGGGAGCATGAAGGTGGCCTCAGTGATATCAAAGGGGAGCAGAGGCTCGACCCCGTGAGCCATGAAGTAGGGAGAGTGACCAGTGGCTTTGCTGAGTCGTAACATGGTCGGCCCAGAAGATGTGAGGTGCAACTGTTGGCCATTGAGTGATGTCGCTTTCGCAAGCCTTGACAAGCGAATCACGGATGGTATGATGCGAGCGTTCAACAATTCCATTTGCGCAGTGAGTTGTAAGCCGAGATACGGGATATGGTTAATATGGTACGTTTTCGCGAGCCAGTCTAGTGCCGCAATAAACAGGGTTCCGTTATCAGTGACGATCTCTTCAACCGCGCCCCATCTGCAGAGAACTTCTTCGAATAGGAAGGCCCCAAGTGTCCAACCGGTTTCAGATCTGAGCATTCGGAATTCTGGCCACGCACTGAGGGAGCATCGAGCTTGGATGATGTAGGAGTATCCATGTGAGGTTGGCATATGCATGGAGTCCGTGTAGGCTTTATGGAATAAGGATGCGGGTGTGGCGACAGTGGGAGGGATGATGACTTTTTCCACCGAATGCAGTTGACATTGATGACAGGTCTTGAGGTACCATGCAAGATCTTTATCTAATGTCAGGCCACCAAAAGCGGTCCTGCAGTTGTGCGACGATGGTAGGGTAAAAACCCTTGTGGCCAAGACGGTTGTGAGTCTCGTGCAAGATGCAAGTGTGGTCGGGGCCGAAAAGAACAATCTGATGGTGTCCTGCTGGATCCTTG